CGGGCTAGTATATAAAATAAAAGTACGTTCTTTTTTTGGCTACAACACAAAGACTTTATTTAATTGAACTAATTGACGAAGATCATCAAATTCAGCGATGTTTTGTAACTCCAAAAAGTAAGAGAACTGTCTACATAAATAATTTATTAAGTTCAAGTTTTCGACTAACACAAGTTTAATAAAAACTTATACGGATTTAATCGTGGTTCTTTTACTTTTCCGCGGTACTGACCTCAAACTGGAGAAGATGGTGCAATTTAATCAATTTAAATTCGTACTTAAATTAGTACACCTAAATAAAACTACTTTTCGAGGCTATTTTAATTCAAATTCCGTTAAATTGTCGAATAAATTATGTAAACAACTCACCAATATTGTCACCATTGTTACATCTTCGTTTCCAAACTTCACTTTCTTCAAATATATTTAAAAAAAGAATATTAATATCTGTTATATCAAAACTCGCCACTGCAACTCAAACAAACTTAGCATATAGACCACAAATAAGACACCATAGACGAAACTGCTACAGAATTTAATGGGAAACCCGTCTGGACCGACTGACAGCTTTATCGCGATAGAGTCGTGACTCAAGAGAAGTTGGGAAACGATTCTGTTAGTAGATAACACCTTATCTGCATCGCAATTTGCGCTCTCAGTTTAAAATGTGACATTATGATCATTTTCACCGTTTGACCCGCCTTTATTAGCATCGACTGCATCGACAACATTTAACTGCTTTCCGAACCGGTGGTAACTTACGAACGTGTTAATTTCTTGTAAAATTTTGACGTTTCATAAGAACGCGCAAGCGTCTATGTGAATAAAGATATTTTTATTTTTTATTATTTTATCGACTATGTGGACATCTTAAGTTAGCACAAAAATTAAAAATCAAACTTCAATAGCAAAGTTATCTAGTTTTCAAATATTTATTACTAGCCTTTCGCCCGCGGCTTCGCTCGCGTTGGAGTTTTTAACAACACTTTTTTCCAATTAAAAATTGCCTATGTCCTTTCTCAGGCTCTAGACCAGTGATTCTCAACCACTGTGCCGCGGCACTTTTGTGTGCCGTCAAATTTCAAAAGTGTGCCGCCAAATTTTGCAAATATATAATAATGTTAATATTATTAAATTATATCATTTAAAAAGCAAAATATTTTTAACATGAATATATATTTAAATCCACAAAAAAATAAATTATTTTATTATTTGCTTTGCAACGCGTTTTTTCTTAGTGCCAAATTATGATGAAGCGGCGTGCATAGCAGTAGGAATATGTCTCAAGTCGGCGCACACTTCCCACTTCTGCGTACAAAACGTGTTGTTTTAGTCATAGTTGGGATTCACAAGGTGTTGCATAGTAGTTACTATACCTTTTCTTTCGTTAAAATTGGCAAATGTATGTGATTCGGTTTAATATTAATTTATTTGCATGTAGTGTCAATTTATAAATTTGTAAACTTATTAACTTTGCAGTACACCTATCCCCCGATTTACACGGTACTTGTTTTACACGTTTTCGCTTTTACACGGTTTTCCAAATAAGTTTTTTTTTTTTGTTTTTATCGCACTCTACTAAATGCTACTGTGATTGAACACGTGCGCTGTGTACACATCTCACGGGGAATCCCGAGCTTATGTGCTGACTTGCTGCACATGCACACTGTGTCTGTATTTCTTCGCGTATATATTAGTTTATAGCGTATATATTATTCGTAGTATATATTAGTTTATTTCGTATATTTAAAATTTTTGTCATAAACTATTTATGCAGTGTGTTGTAGTAAGTAAATAATTTTTATCTTTTTCTTTGTGTGCCGCCAAATTTTGAAATCGTTAAAAATATGTGCCGAAACAAAAAAAAGGTTGAGAATCACTGCTCTAGACTGTCTGTGTATCAAATTTCATTAAAATCGGTCCAGTTCAGTTTTGGAGTGAAAGCGAGACAGACAGACAGACAGAGTTACTTTCGCATTTATATTAGTATGGATAAAAACGCAGTGTGATTACTGTAAAGGAGTCATATTAGATAACACCAAGCGTTGCTACAAATACAATAACAACAAAGTAGATAAGACGGTAAGATTTTCGCGCAGTGTGGATATCGTGCTATATTAGTGGTTAGAACGTCTGGAAGTCGCTGGTTCGAATCCTAGCAGTGGAGATTTAAGAACGAATATTTAAGTTACAAATTTATGTATCTTCTTTATATATATAATTCTTTTGTAAGTGTGTATGTCTCTGAACTCCTGCTAAACGGCTGGACCGATTTTAATGACATTTTCGATTCACAATTCGGGACACTACAACTTTTTTTTTATTTATAAGTTGTCTGATTTAAGTCGTGTGTACAGGACAGTGTCTGTTGGGTCCGCTAGTATAAATATATATTTGTACACACAGGGTTAGGCAGATGCAATACCTTATAGACATCCATCTTTACTTATAAACATCCATAGAAGTTTTCATTGTATGAAACATTTCCCGATTTCGTGTTTATGAGAAAATACAACTGTAATAAATGTTTCATATCAACCATAAACCTGAAAGGATTGGCATTAAACACGCTATTAAGAATTGAGAACAAAACCGCACTAACAGAAAAAAAATGCATGTTTTGGAGAGTGCTCGGTGCCTCCGTTACGCCACAACGGTTGAACGAACGATTGGTTCAAAATATGTAACTGAATGGTATCACCTTTTATTGCATAGTACCTGGAGGATCTTTTTTTAGAGGCCTTTACAGTTTCGCCGGACTTGAGGTGGCCGGGTGCTCAGGGCGCCTAGCCTGAACCTCGGCGTAATATTATTACGCGGAATGTGTTGTTAGGCTCTATCACAGTTAAAATAATAATGAGTTTCACAAGTATCCGTCGTTGTCTGTCACATTATTTAATAAAAAATTACAATAAACGGGGAATCCTCAAGGCTTCATTCCGATTCAATTATAGCAGATGAAACTAACGGACTATGGAATAAAAGCATATCGTTTCGCACTTATCACATTTCGTAGACATTAAAAGGGTTCAATTTAATGCGCCTCAAGATCGGGGGCACAGTCAACAATTATTTATTTGGGGCCTCATGAGGACAGTGAGAAAGAGACAAAACTACCCCTCTCTCTCGCTTCCTCTCTGCGTGAAGAGCTTACTGGTGGCGCGGCAGAGGTATTCCATTCGTTCTGCAGTCTAAGCGAGTCTCGCGTTATTGAAATATTTCAGTTTCGAGCGAACAATGCGCTCTTCAGTGGCACAATAGCACCGGGGGACGCTACGCAAGAGGGTACGGAAAAGGTCAGCCGCCGAATATTTCGATTTCGCAACGAAACGAAACTGGCAGCCGGCCAGCGCGCGCTGCAAATGCCAACGGTTCACCCGTTTCCAGTGTCTGTAGACATTCGGGGAGTGCTATGCGATGTTTTCGCTTTGATGATCCCACTGCGGTAGACATTTATGTAATAAAGTGGCAAACGAGCTGGCGGTTCACCTGATGTTAAGTGATAACCGCCGCCCATGGGCTTTTGCATCACCCATAGGGTTGCAAATGCGTTGCCACCTTTAAATAAAGTGGGCCCCGGCTACCTCACTCACCAGACGAAACGCAGAAGTGTAACACTTCAACGACGGACCTGCCCATTCTTGCAACAGTGAACACCGTTGCGTGGCCCTACCACAATTTTTTTTTTATGGGAAAAGTTGCCAAACGAGCAGTCGGTTCACCTGATGATAAGTGAATACCGCCGTCCATGGACATCTGCTACACCCTAGGGTTACAGATGCGTTGACAACCTTTTGAAAATTGGGCTCCGGCTACCTCACTCACCAAACGATACGCGAAGGAATTTGTCATACTTCTACTTTACGCCGGTCTTCTGTGAGGTCGTGGTACTTACCCGGATGGGCCTGCCCATTCGTGCAACAGCCGAGGCTGCTGCGTGGCCCTACCACCGTAAAATTTTTAATTTATACTTTCAGGTCCGGTCAGGAGCACCTGCAACAATGGTCGCAACGTTCCATATATACTAGCGACCCGCCCTGACTTCGCGCGGATGCAATATATTATACGTATAAACCTTCTTCTTGAGTGACTATTCTATCTTCTAAAAAAATAAAAAAACACATTAAGAACCGATGCGTAGTTTAAAAGATCTAAGCATACATAGGGACACAGACAGACAGCGGGACGACTTTGTTTTATACTATGTAGTGACGAATCTAATTAAGTATTACATCAAATATCCGATTGCCATTACAATTGTAGGCATTGACAGCATGTCCTGCAGTCAGCGAGAAAAAAATACGAAGTTAAAAAATAAAACAGTTTATCAGTTAAAGCTCGTTTTATAAAAATGCTTTAATTAAATACTTTCCTTGAATTAGAAATTCTCTAATCATAAAAAACACATCGCTCTATGTGTCTTGGATAAATAGAAATACGTTAACCAAATAGGCGCTTTCATAAATTTTGCTATGGCAGTTAAAATTTTGTAATTTAGGTGGACGGAGTTACGTGCACTGCTAGTCTGTAAACAAGTTAATGTGTTTGTCATGTACACGCCTCAGGACTTTTACTAAATTTGGCGGGTTCTTGAACACAGTTCGAGACAACGAGGGCTTTCGAGATATTGAAAAGAGGACTTTTTGAGCTCCAATTTACGGTAGTAAGAAAAAAAAACCGCCAAGTTCCAGTCGGACTCACGTACGATGGATTCCGTATGGAATTATCTATCTATAAAATAGGCAAAAAAATCATGTCTGTTGGATGACAGCCACACTTCAACATTTTAATTTCCGTTTTTTAATATATATTGTTATAGCGGCAATAGAAATACATCATGTGTGAAAATTTCAACTGTCTCACTATCACGGTTCATAAGATACAACCTAGTGATAGACGGACAGACAGAAAGCGGTGCCTTAGTAATAACTTTCTACCCTTTGGGTACGGAACCCTAAAAATCGGCTTACAAAGCGATTACGCGGTCGTCCGCGTTAAGAATGAAAGCCCGTGCTCCGTGCTCACGCTTTGAAAGGACGAAAAATAAACTTTTCTACGCTCGTAGCCCCAGCGCTACACGCTACGAAGGTCACTGACCTCAAGAGATGTATGTTATTGAATAAGGTTGTTCATGTATGCATTTGCGTATGCAAATTTCCAGTCTATTGTATTATTCTTTTCTACGAGAAGTTTTTCAATGCAGCAATATTCTACGAAATATTTCGTTAGTGAGATATATGGTTAATTAATTTATATGATTTGTAAACCCCACAATATCTTGTTGTGTTTTATGATACTTCACAGACAACGAAGGTATAATCGATTTTATGTTTCCCATAGATGCGTGTGTTGAGTTTAAATTATTTTTTTACAGTAATGACACAGATCAGTAATTTTTTTGTAAAACAATCTCAATTTCAATAAAACAGTAATTACCGACTGTCGTAAAGAGCTCTTTTCTCAAACCAGTGCGTATAGAAACATGAAATTCTGTTAAGTAATGTAGCTGATAACTAAGAAGGGATTTTCTACTCTTCCCATCACTTGGTCTAACAGATGTTGTTGAATTGTGTTAAATATCTATGTATGCAAAGATATAACCCAATATTTGAAGACAAATTGTCGATGTACAGTTCGATACAGCCACCGTTACGTGTAGTTAGATAAGCTCTTACAAACGTATTTCGTACGTAAACACGATCCATTATCCGATCCGCCAAATCTGCGTGTTGTATCGGACCCTGTCTAAACACGTCGATAATCAAGACCGACGTGTTCCACGTCCAGTGCCGTCGAAACGAACACTCGACTCGTACGGAACGCGTTATGATTTACTCGTATTCGTCGAGCGTCGACGGATTTACGATCGCATTTGTTCACTCAAATCTTACGTTAAACCGGACAGCGTGACAGAGAAGATGAATTCGCCTCAAATGCGTTGTGTTTGATCATTAAATCGAAATTAAATTGTATCACGTCCCAAACGTACAGCATTGTTTACGTCCGCGATCAAAACAAATGTAGAGCAGACGGTGAGTGCCGCGGTCAGGCCGTCCCGCGCAAACCGTTGTCACGCATTTAGATGTTCACGCGTGACCGGGTCGAAATGCCGTCACGCCGTGCAACAACTGCCGGCGAACGGTGTCATTAAAAAATTGATCATCGGCCACCGGCCCGGGCACATGGCGCGCCCCTCCCCCGCGCCCCCGACGCGTCACGCCCTTACGACGCGCTCCGTCAACAGATTCTGACGGGAGCTGACGCCCCTCACACTCACCAGCCTCCCGACGCACTTGCTGGTTGATATTCGACGCAGCAGCGCCTTCCTTTCAGTCTCGTTCTCGCTGTCCGTGCTGTCGTCATGGCATCCAGTTTTACTCGCCCCGCCGCCGCCCTCGCCTCCCGCCGCCGCCATCACACCGCGGACGGTCGCTCGCCGCGCACACAAAGCACACCGGACGCGGCTACATCATACAGAATGTCCACGGACCCCGATTTCCCGACGGCGGCTCGCTACCTCGCTGACATTTCAAGCGAGCGCCATGACCACTGTGACAGTGCCGCTGAAAACAAAACAAGCCAGACGGCGCGGCGACACCTAGCGGCGTACGCGCGAACTTCTTCGAGACGCGACGCTTTAGATAGTTCAGAATAGTTCAGTTCGATGTTGGCGCTTCTCAAATGGCTTATGTGCATTTAATTATTGATTCGACCTTTTGTAGTTAGTTGTTATGAAAGCATTATGTAAGTACGCGTTATTATGAAAACGTCCCGAACGATTCGAATGAAAACTTTCGTAACTACGTATAAAGTATACACAATTGTGGGACCGATGTGTCTTCCTCTATTATGACAATGGATTTCAATGCTTTATCCCCAATTAACCTATTTGTTTATTTAGACAATTACAAATATATGGTACAAATTAAATAGTTTTAATTACGAAGCTTACTCAAACAGCGACTGTGCGTGCGAGCGAAGTTGTCACATTGTATTTTTACAATTAAAGATATTGCTACTTTGCTAGATTATAAAAATTTCCATATTGATCAAAAACTTCCAGCTTTGTTTGAAATTTTCTCCGTATTTACACGTATAGGAGCAAAAATTAGTGCCCAATCTTTATGCAAAAATATTTCTCCCAACACCAAAACAGAGAGATATGTAAAATAGGATCATTGAAACAACATTTATATGAGCAAACATTTATTTCACAAACACAGGACATACACAAGGCATTACTAATAACCAAAATTTCATAATTCACATTATTCATTTAATTATTCACTCTTCCTCCATGCCTTCCCCCTCCGCTTCCTCGTCAAACTCTCCCTCGTCGTCCGCGGTCGCATCCTGGTACTGCTGGTACTCCGATATCAGGTCGTTCATGTTGCTCTCGGCTTCCGTAAACTCCATCTCGTCCATGCCCTCGCCGGTGTACCAGTGGAGGAAGGCTTTCCGCCTGAACATAGCCACGAACTGCTCGCCCACCCGCTTGAATATGCTCTGAATCGCGGTCGTGTTCCCGATGAACGTGGACGACATCTTAAGGCCGCGCGGCGGGATGTCGCACACGGCTATCTTCACGTTGTTCGGTATCCACTCGACGAAGTACGTGCTGTTCTTGTTTTGGATGTTGACCAGCTGCTCGTCCACCTCCTTCATGGACATGCGGCCGCGGAATATCGTCGCGACGGTGAGGTAGCGGCCGTGGCGCGGGTCGCACGCCACCATCATGTTCTTCGCGTCGAACATCTGCAGCGTCAGCTCGGGCACGGTGAGGGCGCGGTACTGCTGCGCGCCCCTGGACGTCAGCGGCGCGAAGCCCGGCGTGTAGAAGTGCAGCCGCGGGAACGGCACCATGTTCACCGCCAGCTTCCTCAAGTCGGCGTTCAGCTGGCCGGGGAAGCGGAGGCACGTCGTGATGCCCGACATTGTGGCGCAGATCAAGTGGTTCAGGTCGCCGTACGTGGGCGTTGTGAGCTTCAGCGTCCGAAAGCAGATGTCGTACAGCGCTTCGTTGTCCAAGCAGAACGTGTGGTCGGTGTTCTCCACCAGCTGGTTCACCGCCAGCGTGGTGTTGTACGGCTCCACCACGCAGTCGGAGACGCGCGCGCTGGGGAACACGGAGAAGGTCAGGATGATCCGGTCGGGGTACTCCTCGCGGATCCTGTTCACCAGCAGCGTGCCCAGGCCAGAGCCGGTGCCGCCGCCCAAAGAGTGCGTCATCTGGAAGCCCTGGAGGCAGTCGCAGCCCTCCGCCTCGCGGCGGATCACGTCCAGCGACGACTCGAGGATTTCCTGGCCCTCGGTGTAGTGACCCCTGGCCCAGTTGTTGGCGGCCCCGTTCTGCCCGTAAACGAAGTTGTCGGGCCGGTACAGGCAGCCGAAGGGCCCGGAGCGTACAGCATCCATGGTGGCCGGCTTAAGGTCGATCAGAACTGTCCGCGGCACATATTTCCCGCCAGAAGCCTCGTTGTAGTACACGTTGATTCGCTCTAGTTGCAGATCGGAGTCGCCGTGGTAGCAGCCGCTCGGGTCGATCCCGTGCTCATCGGATATCACCTCCCAGAACTAGTAAAGATCAAAGTAAAAAATTTATGTTTAAGCAATTTTACTCGTATTTTACATTTTAATGGACATTGTAATCTTTTATTTTTGACATACAGTTCAAATAGTTTTAGATCTATTTAGCGTAGTTTTTATCGTCATTTATCTTCAATCAATATGTCACAAGTTTTACATGACATTTAATCAAAATTGATATTAATGTACGTATATGTATAGTAACGATTATTGCACATTTACTAAACCACGACAGATTGTCCTTTTTAAGGTACACCCCCAATAGCTTGAACACTGTGCCCTTGTGTCATTAAAATTTGAATAAGTTGAGGAATAAAGAGCGAAACCCGAATGGTAAAAAAATTGGTAGTGAGCAGTTATCGTTTTGCAAAAATGGCGTTTCATCCATTTATAAATAATGACATGAAGGGAATTAATGGGCGATCCACTACAGGTTTGTCAAATTGATAACAGTGCATTAACTTTCAGTCATCATTTCAGCCTTTTTTCAGTTCACTGCTGAACATAGACCCCACGACTGCCACGAAAGCACAATGTTGAGCCACCCTTTCATCAGTGGTAGTGTCAAACGCAGCAGCTTCGGCTGTTGCACGAATGGGCAGGCTGTCCGGGGAAGAAGACCGGCGCGAAGTGGAATAATATTCTTCGCATTTCGTGCGGTGAGATAGCCGGGGCCCACTTTCTTAATGTCGGCAACGCAGCCGCAACTCGAATGGTGTTTTGGTTTTCCATAGGCGGCGGTAATCAATTGTATTAAAATTTCTGATCAAAACCACCTGCTCGGTTTGCCAGATTTATGAAAAGAAGCTTCATCAAAAAAAGAGTCCTGCCTACACTGCGATGGCCCTACATACTCTAGAACCTTTCTTCCCCACTGGTTAACAGGGAAGAAAGGATTTTATTGATTACTTGACATTAAACGTTCAGATCAATGACTTAGGCCGTTTTATAATTCCAATGAACAATTTAATTCTTTTGGTCCATATGTTGGTCTTATATTTATTAAAATGGAAAGAATAACGATATCAGTTTTAGGTACCCGATGACTGATTGCAAAAAAAGTTCGGCAAATGTTCGTCTTTTCAACATGAAATCTGCTTACCTTCCCTCCAATTTGATTCCCACAAGCGCCGGCTTGTAGATTAATGATCTCCCTCATCGTGATAATTTACTCGCTCTTCGTTACGGATACTTGTAAAATTTCTCAAAAAACGCTACCGAAACAGTTTTCTCGTGTTGAAGCTTAACATTAACTTAAGACTAATAAAAAAATATAAAAAAAAGTCTAGAGCAACTTCACACTGTGCGCATCTTACGTTGGATTTCAGAAGAATGAGCTGCTAGAACGATTAACTCATTTGGAAAATTTAAATTTAAATTTTGGAACGTGTTTGCTTTTTCTTCGCCTTTAAAGGCTGCAAGAAAATATAAAACCTCTTTAACATCAACGGACAACTTCTCGATGATAAATCGATACAAAAATTATCAAATTTAAACGTTTAATCCCACTGTTGTAATATTCCACGATAATTGGGTTACAATTACAATGTATCTAAACTTTTACTACCATTTATTCAATTATATTTTTTTAATATTGGTTATGCTAACAACAACGCATTACATTTGAATATGTTAGTTAGACATAGTCTAATACATAAATTTCTAGTTTACGCAGACTAGTGGTCGCCTACGGTCGCCATACATGGTAGAGTGTGTAATGTTTTATTTTTTATCATTTATGCATAATTTAAAAATAAAATTAGTATTCTATAGCGGTGATAGTTCAGTGTCCGGGTGCTCGTCTTTAATTCAATATACTCGAGCAACCTGAGTTCGATCCTCGGTGCCGGCACCAATTAAGTGTTTAACTTTAAGTGCTAACTTATCACGTGCTCCGCGGTGAAGGAAAACATCGTGAGGAAACCTGCATACTTTCGAAATAAGAACAAAAAAAATATAGTATTTTTATAATATAATATAACATATTATATAATTAATAGTTTTAATAAAAAAAATATATTTCGAAGATATATGAAGTCCGCCAATCCGCAGTGGGCCCGCTACCCTTTGTACAGAGGAGGCCTTTGCCCAGCAGTGGGACATATATAGGCTGTTACTTTACTTTTATTCTAAAGTCCTTCTCTATATAAACTATAAGCGTGGGAAATTTCATAGTCCTCAAAAGGGGCACAAAGTTTTTGTTTCACAATCAAATAATTACTATTTTTTTGTGGGTTGCTATTACTTGATTGTGCACTTTTGTTTTTGGATTCTATAAGTTGTTGTACATACAATTCGTTACTTAAGCTCGTATAGCATTTGCTTCTGAATAAATAAAGCCTTTAAAGTATCGTCAATATACATGGGGTACCCATTTGCACTTAGAGAGATATGTAGTGTTTCTTTCCTTTTAAATCTGATGGTAAAGAATGATATACGGTAAGCGCACCAGCTTTTTTGCTATATCATATATCGTTTTATGAAGGTACCATATAAACAAGAAACACGAAGTAATGAAGAACTTAGTTCTAGTGCTGGGCGTCTATGACAAAGTCAATAGTTAAAAGACTCAAAAACGTCCTAACGAATAATCACTTACTTAAATTAATTCTTTATATAATAAAGAAAACTCTAGTTTCATAATTCTTACATAAAACCACATACGATGAATACATGCACAAGTAATTCAAACAAGAATGCAATACAATTTTACAGCTTGTTTTGTTATAATTATTAATATTTGATTACCGGCTAGTGTGGGGAAGGGCCTTATGGACGTAATGAGTACATAATTAAAAGACTGGCCATCATGAAAGATATTAAGTATAAAAATAAATCAAAATTCAAATATTCTCCGTTCACAACAAAAGAACGTTGGCATGGCCATTATTGAAGAAAATTTTGTGTAGGATGAACGTATTTTGATCAGACATTTTTTTTATACTTCCAATTATTTTTAATGATCTTTTTGCGGAGCTGAAATTTTAGCTTTCTTAATTTTAGATACAAAATTTTCGGTGTATTTACAAAATGAGGGAAATCGTCCATATCCAGGCTGGACAATGCGGCAACCAAATCGGCGCTAAGGTAAAACAAATTGAATCCTATTGTATTACTAGCCTCGTAACTTCCCCTGGTGTGCGGGCTAATCTTGCAACGTTTAGCTTAACGCGTGAACTGATAGTGCTTATAAATTCTAGTAGTCTCCAACCTTTTATAACGTAACATTTTTACAACATCAAGTAAAAAGTTTCCATAACGATCTTCCATTATAAATCCTAAATAAATTTCCATCAAAGTATACGTTTCTATTCTTTAATTAAAGTTCTAAATACCCTTTTCGCCTTTACAGTTCTGGGAGGTTATCTCCGATGAGCACGGGATCGATCCCACTGGCGCCTATCGGGGCGACTCCGACCTGCAACTGGAGCGAATCAACGTGTACTACAATGAGGCTTCTGGGGGCAAGTACGTTCCCAGGGCGATCTTGGTGGACCTGGAGCCCGGCACTATGGACTCCGTGCGCTCTGGCCCCTTCGGGCAGATCTTCCGCCCGGACAACTTTGTCTTCGGCCAGTCCGGGGCGGGCAACAACTGGGCCAAGGGCCACTACACCGAAGGGGCGGAGCTGGTCGACTCTGTGCTGGATGTCGTGAGGAAAGAGGCGGAGGGCTGCGACTGCCTGCAGGGCTTCCAGCTGACCCACTCGCTGGGCGGCGGCACGGGCTCCGGAATGGGCACGCTGCTCATTTCGAAGATTCGTGAGGAGTACCCGGACCGCATCATGAACACGTTCTCCGTGGTGCCCAGCCCCAAAGTGTCTGACACGGTTGTTGAGCCGTACAACGCCACGCTGTCCGTTCACCAGCTCGTCGAGAACACCGACGAGACGTACTGCATCGACAACGAGGCGCTGTACGAGATCTGCTTTAAGACGCTGAAGCTCACCACGCCGACGTACGGCGACCTGAACCACTTGGTGTCCGCCACCATGTCGGGCGTGACGACGTGCCTCCGCTTCCCCGGCCAGCTGAACGCCGATTTGAGAAAGCTGGCGGTGAACATGGTGCCGTTCCCGCGGCTGCACTTCTTCATGCCGGGCTTCGCGCCGCTCACGTCGCGCGGCAGCCAGCAGTACCGCGCCCTCAGCGTGCCGGAGCTGACGCAGCAGATGTTCGACGCCAAGAACATGATGGCGGCGTGCGATCCGCGCCACGGCCGATACCTGACCGTCGCCGCAGTTTTCCGCGGCCGCATGTCCATGAAGGAGGTGGACGAGCAGATGCTCAACATCCAGAACAAGAACAGCAGCTACTTCGTCGAGTGGATACCGAACAACGTGAAGACGGCCGTCTGCGACATCCCGCCGAGGGGGCTCAAGATGTCTGCGACTTTCATTGGGAATACGACCGCCATCCAGGAGCTGTTCAAGAGGATTTCGGAGCAGTTCACGGCTATGTTCAGGCGGAAGGCCTTCCTCCACTGGTATACTGGCGAGGGCATGGATGAGATGGAGTTCACGGAGGCCGAGAGCAACATGAACGACCTGGTGTCTGAGTACCAGCAGTACCAGGATGCGACGGCCGACGACGAGGGAGAGTTTGAGGAGGACGTTGAGGAGTAATTGTCTTGTCCAATGTATTGTGTGATTCCCGTTTAATGTTTGTCCAATGTTTAGTGTTAGGCGTAATGTTTGTGTAATAAAATATAAAATGTTTTATTGGTTTCTAATGTCTCACTTTCTTATACCGTCTCATTTAAATGCTCGGTAAAGCCATTAAAAATATTGTAATTGTGACGTAATTGTAACGTTTAGTCATTTTTAATATTTTTCCCTCTTTTTGAGGAAATATTAAATTAAAGATGATTTCCGCATGTGCTTGTAGGTTCTGATCCTTAATAAAAGCTAGTACTAATTTTTCCAAATCGAATGAAATATCGGTGTGCACTTCAAAATTGTAGAAACCCTATTCAAGAAGTGTTTGATGATATAAGTACATTATGCTGTTGTCAAGGCGTCTTTTGCTTTTGCTCCCCGATTCCATCTGCGGCCAGGGTACGAATATTCGAAAATTCTTTTTAGGTGTTTTTTCGTATATCGAGTTCTATGGTTTTAAATTTGCATAATTTACTGGTTGGCTTCTCGTCCAAGATTCCATGGTCTTAAAGAAGGATGTATACCTAACCACTATTGACGTATGGGACTGACGTGATTTTTGGTGAAAAGATGGTCTTTTTTAGACTAGGTGGTCTGGTGGATGCAAATGGCAGTGTCGACCGTTTTGGCGAGAGACTAAGAAGAGGCCTATGTTCAACAGTGGACGTCTTCTGTCTGATGATGATTGGTTGGCGTTTTGAGCCACGAACAAGGACTCACTAGCAGGGTTTTATAGCATATCTGAATAAGTTTACCGAATTCTTCTCAAACCACTATAGTAACGATCATCTTATAAGAACCACGAGTAAACTTTACTTCTGTCCTAAAACCATTTCATGCGTTTCTTCATCAAGATATTTGCAGTCTTTTATGATTTAACGATATAACTTAAAATCTTTATCATGAGGTAGCTTTACATAATTATAAGAGAACTGTTAACGCCTGTCGCAATTTAGTAGCAAACTTACGCGCATTAGAGTAATTATTGTAACTTTATGTAAAGTAAATAGACGTTATGTTTTTCTGACTACCGACCTATGCTCGTAACTACATTGTGTGAAATGATGATCAGTTCGGACAGATAATTTAATAAATAAATAAATAAACAACACATTCTACTCGTCGCTGTCGTCATTAGGTGCGACTTCCTCGTCTTCAAACTCCTCGTCACCAATCGTCGCGTCCTGGTACTGCTGGTACTCCGATATCAGGTCGCTCATGTTGTGGTCCGCCTCCACGAAATCACTCTCCTCCATACCCTCACCAGTGTACCAATGCAGGAACGCCTTCCTGCTGAACATAGCCGCGAACTGCTCCGAAATGCGCTTGAAGATCTCCTGTATGGCGGTTGTGTTGCCGATGAACGTGGCCGACATTTTGAGCCCCCTGGGTGGAATATCGCAGACCGCCGTCTTAACGTTGCTCGGTATCCAGCCGACGAAGAAGTCTTTGTTCTTCGTTTGGATGTTGAGCATCTGCTCGTCCACCTCCTTCATGGACATGCGGCCGCGGAAGACTGCGGCGACGGTCAGGTATCGGCCGTGGCGCGGGTCGCACGCCGCCATCATGTTCTTGGCGTCGAACATCTGCTGCGTCAGCTCCGGCACGCTGAGGGCGCGGTACTGCTGGCTGCCGCGCGACGTGAGCGGCGCGAAGCCCGGCATGAAGAAGTGCAGCCGCGGGAACGGCACCATGTTCACCGCCAGCTTTCTCAAATCGGCGTTCAGCTGGCCGGGGAAGCGGAGGCACGTGGTCACGCCCGACATGGTGGCGGACACCAAGTGGTTCAGGTCGCCGTACGTCGGCGTGGTGAGCTTCAGCGTCCTGAAGCAGATGTCGTACAGCGCCTCGTTGTCTATGCAGAAGGTCTGATCGGTGTTTTCAATGAGCTGGTTGAGGGACAACGTGGCGTTGTATGGTTCTACTACAGTATCCGAGACTTTGGGGCTTGGCACGACCGAGAATGTAGATACGATCCTGTCGGGATACTCCTCCCTTAAATTGGTCAGGAGTAGCGTTCCCAAGCCGGAGCCCGTGCCGCCGCCTATCGAGTGGACCAGTTGAAACCCTTGGAGGCAGTCGCAGCCCTCGGCTTCCCTCCTCACAACGTCCAGAGCCGGCTCAAGCAAATCTGCACCCTCCGTGTAGTAGCCCTTAGCCCAGTTGTTGCCTGCACCAGTCATTCCGTATACGATGTTGTCGGGCCGGAAAATTGCTCCGAAAGGTCCGCCCCGTATGGAATCCATGGTGCTTGGCTCGAGATCCACTAGGACCGCCCGTGGCACGTACTTGTAGGCGGACGCCTCGGTATAGTATACGTTAATTCTCTCGAGTTGCAGATCTGAGTCGCCTTTGTAACAACCTTCGTTGTCGATGCCGTGCTCATCTGATATCACCTCCCAGAACTGTGAAAAAGGGTGGAACAAGTGTATTCAGATAATTCAGTTTAATAGTGATTTACGCAATTATTGCATCGCTTGAAATATTTTTATTTTCTTCAATCTTTTTACCGATTTAGATACCTACTATTGTGATCGGACACGCAATAACTACAAAACAATTTTACCATATCTAAAGGGGGTTAAAGGTATGAGAAAGTGGCACCTGTTATGAAGGAGTCTTGTCGTACAAACATGAGACTAAACCGTTGAGAGTATTTTTATCTTAATATGAATGATGTATGAAGTATTTTAACGATACTAAGGTGACTTTCGCAAGTAAAAGGGACGGACCGGTACCTAATGTAAAAGTAAAATAAGATAAAAAAAAATTTAGTGTTGTTATCATACCTATCTATTTTTTCTACCTATTGTTTTATCATCAAACATTTTTTTGAAAATAAAATTGTGTCTTTGTCATGGTACTGAACTGCTTTATATTGTAGTAAGTATATTCGTGCAACAGCAGAGGTCGTTGCGTGGTTCTACCCACGGTTACCTCACTACTAACGCCAGTTACTAGACTCCATAGTGTAACTCGTTCATGGGGCGGTGTATACGCAACAAAATCCCAGTAAAAGCGAAAAACCTGCCTATTAACAGGTTTAAGAAATTTATTAAAGAAAAACTTTATAAAAAGGGTTATTATAATACAAATGAATACATTAATGACAACAACCACTGGGAATGAGTTGATCGCTCCCAAGCTATTTCTAAAAGGAAAAAAATCAGTTGTATAATATTTTAATTTAAGAAAAAAAATGATTTACAAAAAAGGGGATACCTACGGAGTTTCTTTCGCCTGTTTCTTCTCCGCTAGAGGAACCTCATTACGAAACGGTGATAGATATTAAAAAAATGACTATCGATAGATGAAATGTAAGTTTCTTATGTCGATGAATAAATGATTTTGACTACACGAACACAAAACTGTTGTACTTTCACTTAACCCCGGTCTCATGCGAGGCCGTGGTACTACATTAGTGCAACTGCAGTAACTATTTCGTGGCCCTCCCATTGAACAAAAGAAGTTATTACCTTTGCTCCAATTTGATTGCCACATCTTCCGACTTGTATGTGAACGATTTCCCTCATTGTTTAAAGATTACAGAGAATTTTAAAAATAAAAATATACAAAACCACCGTAATAGTGACTTAAAAGTAATAATAAAAAAATTTATAATACTATCTAACTATCTACATGAGTTACCTATGCTAATAAACTAAAAAGACTAAATAAAACTGGGCTTCAGCCCTCTCGATTATTCCCAACAAAACGGGTTGGTCTTAAAATTTTAATTGTCGTTTAGAAATTGAGCGGCTTAGGGTAAGGTTTTTTTATGTTAGAAACTGGCAATCGAGCTGGCGATTTGCCTGATATTATAAAGTTGTTTGGTAAAATGGGCCCTACTACGACGCACTTTATCAAATGTTGGCACCCCACCAAGCCAGTCTTCTGTGAGGTCGTGGTACTTCCACGGACGGACCTGCCCATTCGTGCAACAGCGAACCCTGCCACAGTAAATTAAAAACACACAACCGCAGAAAAAAATTTCACTAATAGTGGTAGGGTAAACATAACTAAAACCTATTGTTGTAACTTAAATTTTGTACCGTTGATTAACAACTTTCTTTTACTTAAATTAATAATAGTGAGCTTATTAATTTTCCCAATCTTTATTGGCTATAAACCATATAATCCCCATGACTGTAAAGTGGTCAGACGGTGTAGCAAATCAACTACCTAGAACCGTTCAAACTCAAACTGAGCATTACGCTAAGGTATGGAGAGCGAAGGTATGGCTCAGACCTGGATTCTCACGGGCCGTTGCTTAAGTGAATAAAACACATTGTTAATCGGATAAATTTATTAGAAATCTTATACAAATACACGTGGATGTTATAAAAGTGGAAAACTTTTAGGAAACTCTAACCATTTGACAAATTCAAATAGAGTTTAATTTGTTTGTTACAAACACATTCATTCTTAGTTTCATTCATAGTACACCCATTCTTAGTTAACTTTCCTAATAAGAATTATAGGAGTTATTTCATTTTCACAACCCAAAAGCAGGATAATATTATATTATACTGCTTAAGGGTTGACAGCAATTTTTTTCCTATAAAAGCTTCTATTTAATGTATATATTTATTTTATTTAAAGTATTATAAAATTGCACATACACCTAGATCAGGAAACATTAACATTAAGTGATAAAAAAACAAGAATCGAACTGACGACCGTGTCTGTAAAGCCAGCTTAGCAATTGTTAATCATGTGTTAAAATTAATTTACGCAATTGACTAGAATTTTGCAAAAAGACGAACTAAACTGTATAAAAAAATAAATTACAGATTAAAATATATATAATAATTATACATAATAATAATAGTGGTAGGGCCACGCAGCAGCCTCGGCTGTTGCACGAATGGGCAGGCCCGTCCGGGTAAGTACCACGACCTCACAGAAGACCGGCGTAAAGTGGAAGTATGACAAATACTTTCGCGTTTCGTCTGGTGAGTGAGGTAGCCGGAGCCCAATTTTCAAAAGTCTGCTCGTTTGACAACTTTTCGCATAAAAAAAAAAAAAATAAAAAAATAACGACGTGTATTTTTTAGCATATTATACAACATACAAATGCCTACAGCAACTTATATTAATTAATGCACAACTAAAACTCTGAGATAAATATGCTTATAATGAAAATTAAAGCAAAACCATTGAACAGTACAATTCTTCAGAGCTTACATCTCTTTTTTTTTTAATTTTTTGACCAGACCTGTAATTGCCAATAGTGCGATCTTGCAAATATAGAAAAATTACTTTCCCGCCAAAAATCCAGCATGGCGTGTATTCTACCTTTTTACTTTGGAAACGTCAGAAACTGTTAATATTATCTAAATCGCAAATATTATTATAATTATTTTAATTCATCAATAAAAAATATGGCAACCTTATGACTAGTATTGTAACATTATTGCAACTACTATTATTTATTTTGCTTAAGTACTAGTAATTTCTTTACAACAATAGTGAATGATATGACGTAAATATTGCTTTTTTATTTAGTTAAAATCAATAAAACATTATTAAATTACACAAACACATATCTATATCGAGCTTTATTCGTGTTTTCTTATTTCTTTTAAAAATCGATGAACATTCCTTCGGATAACTTATTTACTAGTGCAAAAGATGTAATGTCGAGTAGGTCTTTAATATCGCAAAAATCTGTCTCAGACTTGATGTTATTGGTATAAAAATGTTTAAATGCCACAGTATATAAAGGATACAATACATTACTATACGAAAAAAATGCTAAATTAGTATGATTTAGCTTATTTTTTTTTCCATTTTTCTATCTTAGTTATATTGCAAACCGTGATTAAGTAAAAATTTGTAAATAAATACAGCCAAACAATTTTCTCACCATTTTAATTAGCTAATCGATATAAAAACATACCATTTTAAGGTACTATAAGCAAAACCACATCAGTAAGAAGCTAATACAAATACAATAAAATCGATATTTCCCGACATGGTACTGGTAACACCGAACGAGGACACGAGATACGTTTCATAATCGACGAGTAAAACTTTCCACAGCGGGTAGATCTTTTAAAGGGACTTGGCTTACAATAGGTTCTTCAAGATTGCCTAACGCGAAACATGTTATAAAGTGCAAGGGAAACTGAACCTAATCGACGAGCAAAACATTCCTCGGCAGTTTTGGCTTGTTAAGGAACCTTAATGGAAATTATCTGTCATCAGGTTCTTCAAGATTGCACTATGCCAACCTAGTTATAAGTGCAAAGGAAATTGAACCTAATCGACGAGTAAACCATTCCTCAGCAAGTGGAATTGTTAAGGGATGTTATGGGAAATTAGCTTACAAAAGGTCCTTCAAGATTGCCTTAAACCAACCTAGTAAAGTGCAAGGGAAACTGAACCTAAAAACCTAAATCTCTTTCTTTCTTTTTTTCTTTCTTTCTTTCTATCTTTCTTAAACGACGTATATGACGTTCCTCAGCAGGTGCAGCTTAGTGTACACGAGGCCGGACAGGCCCGGGGCGTAGAAGGCGCGTCTGAGTGGCGGCGAACGGGCCGCGTCGAGGAGTGGGTACGCTGCCACGGTCTGCCACTCGGGCCAGAGGTGGTAGGCCGGCTGGCGGGCCGTTGCCACGCCCTCGGAATGCACCAGGTAGTGGCACTGCGAGGGCCGCAGGTAGGTGCTGTCGTCGCCGCGGTTCAGGCCGTTGAAGTGAGAGTGCACGATGCGCGTCGCTGCAAGGGGAGGGCGCGGTCCCATCGGGCACGGGTTCGATTCCCGCAAGCCGTCACTTTGTGTGCTCTTTCCAAGTGACCACTTGTTTTACGCGTGACACGACGACTGCATTCGGCGGAGATCAATTAACAATCGCTTACCAAGAGCGCTGTCTTTTGCTCGCTCAAACTTTTTAAAGGCCAAATAAATCGTGTGATAAAGTTAAAGAGATGACATCAGGATTAGTTGAAATGGCTCCCGCAGTACCCTTAAGTACTGCTCATTTTATAACAAGCATTAATATCAGCATTAATACTTGTTATAATTTTTTTTTAATGTGAGACGGTGGCAAGCGAGCTGGCGGTTCACCTGATGTTAAGTGGTAACCGCCACCCATGGACGTTTGCGACACCCTTACGTTTGCAGACGCAGAACGTTCACCGTGTGACACCGCCAGTTCACGCCGGTCTCCCCTGGACGGGCCTGCTCATTAGTCCCAACTCCGAGCCGGACCGGTCGTAAAAAATGTAGCCAAAACCGCTTATATCATTTACATGTCGTGCCGACCCCACCTAGGTGGGATAAAGGCAGGAGGAGGAGGAGGAGGAGGAGGACGAGGAGGAGAAGGAGGAGGAGGAAGGGGAGGGAGGAGGGGAGGGGGAGGGGGAGCGCGATGATGACGACTCTTTACTCACCATTACTAGTTTCCGAGTAAGGTGCAGGCATCTGGCCGGCGAACTCGCTCGCCACGAAGCGTATCCTATAGCCGTCCTTTAGATGGAAACTGGACGGCGACCTGTACCAGTCCTTCCCGAAGCAGACGTTCTTCGATCCGCCACCGGTCGGCGGCAAGTGGCTCAGTATGGTCATCGGGGCGTGGTAGTGGTGGTGCAGGGCGATTATGCGCGATATGCCTGTAGAAGGAGAGGGTTCGTTAGGTTTTAAAGTTATTCATCCGGTCAAAAGGACCAATTTGGATTTCTTCGAAACGTGAAATTGCCTTTTTGACATTTCACTGGCTCACTCGGATGTTGGTTATGTGGTTCAAAATTGTGTTGGAGATTTTATTTTTATTTTTGGCATGTACTTCATAATATGCCCATTTTCACTCGCCTTTTAGTTACACATAAAAATGTATAGAGTTTTAAACAGAGACATCAGATTAAACGTAAAATCCGTGCCCAGATAGGCAGAGCTACGGGCTAAAAATCAGTAAGGTGTAGTTCTGTTTATCTGAATAAACCAACATACCACCCAGGCCGGCTAGAAGAACGCATGCAATCATCAGGGGGCCCGTGTACGCCAAGTAATGCCGCTTCTCTCTTTCCTTCCGCCATCTGAACAAAAATTAAGACTATACGACTCCAATAGTGTACAGAATACCTACTTACACAAAGTCCTATATGTCTCATTCCGTATACTTCGAGGCGATGGAGGATATTACGACATAGTCCACAATGAGGCCAAACTGCGGATTGACGGACCTTCACAATTCATGTTCGAAATATTATTAGATACGAAGGTATCCTGACAAAGATTTCCTTCACCGAGCAGGTGGTGAAAAAAATTTAAAAAGTGCATAAAAAATTACAGTCGAACTGAGATCTTCCTACGTTTTTGAAGTCGGTCGAAAAGGAGTAAACAGACACTTCTTACCCGAAAACCTCTGTGCCGACGGCATAGGTCAACTTCTGGACGCAGTCGAGAGATATCGCCCCGGCGAGTACTATCATGCTGTACACAGGGTACAGGAACCTGGGGGGCAGTCGGTACAACAGTCGCAGAACCGCTCTGATCGCTGGAACCAGCTATCGTGCCAGTTACAGTGATAGACTTTTTTACAAAAAAAATATGCGTACGAGCCGTGCGCTCGTATGCACATTTTTTTTTCTTATTGAGATTTTAGTTTAACGTTCGATGTTTATATTTCGTTTTCGTTTTATCAACAATGCTGTTAGACCATTTTATTCGTTGCCTCTGTACTGTATGTAACAAAGTATTTTTTATCTATTCTTTACCCTTTTAGTTAGAAAATTTTTTGCAGACCTTTTATCTATTCTTTACCTCTGTACTGTATGTAACAAAGTATTTTTTATCTATTCTTTACCCCTTTTTCTTTACCCTGCACAAATGGGCAGGTCCGTAGGGGTAAGACACCTCACCGAAGACCGGCGTGAAGTGGAAATGTCATACATTTGCGTTTCGTCTGGTCAGTGAAGTAGCCGGGGCCCACTTTATTAAAAGGCTGCAACGCATCTGCAACCCAACGGGTGTTGCGAATGTTCATGGGCGGCGGTTACCACTTAACATCGGGTGAACCGCCAGGCTGCTTGACACCTTGTCACATTAAAAAGAAAACGAGTGTGCTTTAGACCACACGATCGAAGTAAAACTTCTTTAGCTCCATCTCTCATATATGTATACAGCGTTTCGTTACCATGGCGACAATAAATGAACACACATATAGGGGATAACTTTTTAAACTTGTATTAAACATTAAAATTTTTTAAACATCAATATTTACAGAGTTATTAAATTTTCCAAAACAAAGAATTTTAGAACATCCTTACCTATAAAAGCGTAACGTAAAATTCATTTGTAAAGGTCACAAAGCATATGAATGGGTTAAATGAATTTAAAAGAGACAAAACATACTGTTAGAAGGAGAGGCTTGTAATGCAACGCTGTGGCGCGAGTTGTATAGGATGTTACAAATTTTGTTTCTTTTTTACTTAATTAGTTTGTTTGAAAAATATTTTTTTTAATTATGGATTTTGTTTAACATTAATATTTTTTTATGATTATTGGTAAGTAGCGTTAGACGTGTGTTCATTTATTGTCGCGATGGTAACGACACGCTGTATATATAAATATGTCTTATATTAACAAGCAAGAAATCACCGTTCGTGTAACCGTTTGCCTCGCCCGATCACCCTTTACGTAACGTTCTCGTCAAGCTTACTCCCCACGCAAGGCGTGCGTGAAGATGTTTTACTTGAAAAGCGCGCACCTCTCCTCCTTGTGCGGCTGCGCGAGGAAGACGGCGAGCCAGAGAGCCAGCGGCATAAGCGCGAGCCAGTAGGGCGCGCAGAAGCTGGCTCGGCCGGTGGAGCGCGGCGCCGCCACCATGCAAGCGGCCAGAGCCAGCGGAGCGGACAGTGCCAGCACCTTTACGGCGTTTTTTTATATGAGAAAGTGACAAACGAGCTGGCGGTTCAGCCTAATTTTTAGGACACACTCTTACACACTGTTTCAACTGTACAAGTGGTAATAGATAATAAACAAACTTAAACATACTTATGTGTTGTAAATAAATACATGTTATCCATGTGTTATAGCCCAGATGCCAGAAAAACACTATGTTCATCACTCAATACTTTTCCAGTAGTGGGGATCGAACCCGGTGTGGGCTCAGGAGCAAGAGGCAGGTTCACTACCCACTACGCTAATTGGATCACCAATAACCACCGCATATTGCCATTTGCAAAACCCATAGGGTTGCAGATGCGTTGCCACCTTTAAATAAAGTGGGCCCCGGCAACCAACTCACCAGACGAAACGCAAAGTTACGCACACATCTACATTTCGCCGGTCTTCTGTGAGGTCGTGATACTTATCCGGGCGGAACTGCCCGTTAGCGCAACAGTGAACTGTTGCGTGGCCCTGCCACAGTTAAAACGATCAATTGCTTCTCCAACTCATGCATTTGTGATCGCATGATAATGTCCAAACAATCTTGTCTGACGAGGTGAAAGCGGCTGACGATGAAACGTTCACGGTCTGTGTAGCCGTAGGGACAAAACTCATACTAAAACGTAGAGGCAAAACTCGCATACATAATGGAGCCAATAGTCCATCTCATTAACCACTGAGCGATTCGGTCAAGCAACGGAACCGCTCAAGTCTAGCGGGTCATACAGCAAGCGACCGTCCACACCGCGGCTCTATCATTCCGAATCAATCCCCAAAAAGCCTATAGCTATGTATTACATTTGTTGTCTGCATCGACCCAGTTTAGAAATATTATCGAATTGAAATCTCAGAAATGGATAGATAATTTCTAACGTCAGAGAATGTCTAAAATTTTACTCCATGCACTGAGGAGACCAGCACATCTATAGATTATCATTTTACAATTTAAATGTGAAAAAAAAAGTCCATTGAAAGAAAAAAAAAACAGCCAAGTATTATCTATAAAAACTGCAAAAAATCATGTCTGTTTTATCGCAAGCCCAAGTTAAAAAATTGTCATTCTGTTTTTATAGTATTTTTTGTTATAGCGGCAACAAAAATACATCATCTGTGAAAATTTCAACTGACTAACTATCACGGTTCCTGAGATACAGACAGACGGAACGACAGAGAGACAGACAGCTGTCTCCTATTAATAGTGTCCCGTTTTACCCCTTGGGAACTCTAAAAATATATACCTAACAAAAACTTACCCAAACTACGTTGAAGTTCAAGAATCCGTTCACAAAGTAATAGGTCCAAGGCTCTACGCCGTAGAGGTCTGGGCCGTGTTCTGTGAATATGTTGTAGGCGACGATGTTCCAAGGCGCTACGACTAAGCGCCCGTAGTGCCAAGAGTCGACCAGTACAGTTGGCAGCAATATCACAATAAGGGATACTGCTGACCATTTAAAGAACTCTACGTAGAGCTTTTTATACATCAGCATGTCTATTGCTATCGGCAGGCCAAGGATCGCAGTGAAAGGCCAACCTGTAACATGCGTTACGATAAATTAAATCATCAACAATCAGATGTGAGGCCGAATTTGGAAACATGGTCATTCTAATCATAGTGTAATAAGTTCTATTTCTCTGCCTGAACAAAATTAAGTGTTGTCATGGTTATGTAGTGACAATGCCCACAATCACACCATAATTTTTCATTCTAGTATCAGTGTGTTCACATGGTCATAGTTTTTTTTTTACATTCATTAAGTGCTTAGAACATGTCTATATTATAATTATCATCAAAGAAATTTTGTCTTTCGCCATTTTCATGTAAACAAATTATACCATATCATCCTAGAACATTGATTAAAAACACTAGCAGTGATCCACACTCACTAAGTAGGGTTGTTGCAGCTGTTAGGAGTACAGCGAATGGATAACGTCGTCGCCACCAGCAAGCCAAAGCAGCCGTCACCAATGCAGAGCTCCAAGCAGACGGAAGCATGGCAGCACTGCTGGCAAACATGCCAGCTGATGGCAATGTGAGGAAGAGCCACACACGGCCCACATGAACACCAAATTCATGGCACACAGCTCTGAAATTGATAATTTTAATGTAAACTAAAATATACTCATATTTTTTTTTTCTGAATTTGTTAACTCTTGACTATTGACTTGATGATAAGTAAAGATAGTGCGATAGGTTGTTAGCACATTCAACAGTTAGGAAAATATTATACACCCTAAACAAAATGCTCATCATAATGGAGAATATTGCTATATAGTGCTCATTAATGGAATTAAATTATTTAATTGAATGTTCCCCGGCAAGTGTTTATATATTTTTTTTGCTACATCCCATATTGAACATAACTGTATATATGCATGACATACGTTTTGCAAGTGTCCGCAATTATCCAGCATAACGTTTTTGTAGATGTAATTTAAAATATCAATTTAAGAGTTGTAAAATCAACATTATAAATGCCATAAACCACTTACTTATAGAACATTAGTTCAGCACAAGCTGTTAGGGCTGCCAAGATCGCTCTGAGTGTATAGAACACATTAACTGGGGCCATCATAAAGGACAGGATCTTCGCAGGCACAGCAAAGAGCCACAGAGGCATGTAGGAGCGTATTGCATATGCAGGGCTGTACTCCCATGTTTGCAAACCACTCCCATAAACTAAAATAATTCAATTACAATTGATTAGATATCTTTTATAAGGCTACACAGAACAGATATGCTACTTCATAACCTGTTCAAAACTCAACTAATTGCTTAGATAACTATCATAATAATAGGATTGCGGTGATATTTAGATGAAAACCAATTGTGTTCTGTGAACAGGTTTTTATGAGTATAGCAACGTAAATAATTTTTATCAATTTTGGAAAAACTTGCCGAGATAATGCAAAGGCTCCCAATAATTATATGTCTCATCACAGTCAGATATTTGCCCCCAGTAAGCAGATGTGAGACGAGAAATTAATAATAGCACTAAAGCTGCTGCACCACCAGGATATGCTATACTCCGTAAGTCTGACGGTGCATTAGTCATAAGAAATTCGCTGAAAAAGTATAAGTAATTGTTGTAAAATATATTAATAAAACTTAATAGTCAATTTTTTGAAATATCAAATAAAAACAGCAACATTAGGTAAATAATTAAACAGGTGTCTCCAGTCACAAAAACTTGAAATAAACATTTGCCAAAAGTAACAAGTATTCAAAAACGAATGGGCCTCACAATAAAAAGTAAAAGTGTGTCAAACAATGTTTACATTTTTCATTTTATACTATAGTATAAAATATCATTGACGTCAAACTAAAGAATAACGTAAACAATATTGTAGAATTAATATACATAAGGGGAAATATCGTAGTAGAATGGTGAATGTGTAAAGAGTATTGCTTTTTTTAAAGATTTTTAGTCGTTTACCTTTCGCTAGTTTTACGACTTTTCTTGCCCTTATTAAAGCTAGAAGATCTTTTTGTTCCATTTTTATTATGAATACTCCTTTGCCTAGCCGTTAACGGCATTTAAAATGTTTTAGTTAAAGATTATAAAATTTTAAAAATATAATATTGCACCAATCATGTAAATGTCAATTGTTGACAGCTAAATGACAAGTCATTATTTTTTTTTTTGGATTTTATGGCCCGGTATCAAGGACCTTTAGGCCAATGACAAGTCATTACATGTAAGATGATGACATATGTTTTTTTTTTTTTTTGATCGGAAGAGGTCCGCAGTCTGATGACCCGCAAACTTAGGAGAAAAATGTCTGTTAGAATGTAGAAGACATTTTTCTCATGACACGAAATCATGTCTGCATAATAACGACATGATGAACGTCCACTCTGTTGCATCTCCGCGACCCCTGTTAACGAAAGATTATCAGTGTATAATAGTCATAAGTGTATAAATATTAAAGGGTAGAAGAGAACATGGATCATGGCATCCCCACTACCTACGTAAAGGTGGTATAAGGCTCCGTTGACTCTAAATTGAAATCAGTAATTCGAAAAGTAGTACTTTTCTGTCTTGCACATTTTCAAACTCAGACTTTGTCGATAGATATGCTCCATATGGCGGTAAACTTGAAAAACGCTTGAATGTCTGATCCTTAACCGGAACTAGTCGTCTATAGTTATATATAGCAATTAAACGCAATTTTAATCTCTGTTTGGATAATGTATTCGTTAATTTTCCCTATAGCGGATAGAAGATAATAACGGTAATTCAACGCTAATTCTCGGTGCTTAGTCAACTTAGCGATGCCAAGGACGTACACTTTCTTCCAATTATCGGGGAAGGTGCAGATGTCGCCATTAGAAGTCAAATAATATGGGCAGAGACATGGCATTTTGACACGTTGCAAGGCCACCATGGGCATTTTCTGATGCTGAATTGGGCCGGCTCAAACTGGGGAAGTACCACGGCCTCTCAGAAGATTGGCGTGAAGTAAGGGTATTTATACTTCTGCGTTCCCAATATCATGATAGCAATATTGAAAGCAAACGTACCCCACGCTCGGATAGCCCTTCTCCACCAGGGCGTGGGCGCTCGGGCTACCTCACAGATTCTGGGAGTGGGGGGAGAGGGTCAAAATTCCGTTCTCCATTCCCTCTGGTCGAGGAAAGCATAGTAGGCTACGGCAATACCTACCACGCGCTCTGTGTATTTCTGCAATATAATGGGACTACAACCTCAACTCACTTCTCCGCCTGACACAACACATTTCTCTTACCTGGGGTACAGATTGGAAAACTCCTTTATACCCCGAGCCGGAGTTTGTACTCTATGTTAAAGAGAATATCTGTTCTTGTTCTCTCAGTAGCCTTGAAGGTCGTGTACGTCGTGACATCGATGGTCATCCTCGCATCCATGTCTTTATACCTCCCATAGCGTCAATACCGAAACACCTACTCATCATCCACGTCCAAATGGGTTCAGATTACGTGCATCAACAGATCCCAACCACAGAGATCGTGATCATTGGAGATGTTAATATTTTAGACATTGCTTGCGCTTTTCGGGTCGGCTAATGGGTTATCTAGACAAGTATAGTAGATCAAAGGTGTGAATGGAATAAAAATCTTGTAAAATTTAAGTCTTAAATTGGGGGCCTTCAGTTCAGTTCAGTTATGCCGCCCCGGGTCTCTGAAGGGCCTAGTCCGCCACTGCACCTCACCTTTAGGGACGAGGAAGATTTTGAGTAGCGGTGATTATCGAAGCTTTCTTCCTCAAATTAGTGATTTGAGAAAAGGCAATGTAGATAATCACCGCCACCCAAAATCCATCACGACCACTAATAAATTCATAAAACGTAAGCTCTCTTTTCAAAACTTCCTAGGTCGGATCGATCCGGAAGTACCGCTAGTGCCAACTTTTTCCACAGTGATTGTAAGCAGAAGAAAATTACTCCGAATGTTCACGGCAGTTGCCTGAAAAAACTAAATGATTGTTTAAGATTTGACATTTTGAAAGGTGTTGAAAATAACTAGACCACTAACCATAGTTAAAACATCTTAGTAAAGTGTAAAACACACAAGTCTAATTGCAAGACCATAAGAAACAGTCTAAGAAATATTTGATGATTTATCAAAAAAGAATGTCTAAAGTGTAAAACAAATATTATTATGTTTTAAATAAATTTTGTATCATTAAAATTTTACTTACAACTTATCCTGAGGGTATTTCTTCTAATTAAAACATGTACAAGTATTAAATTATTTATTAAAATAATAAGTGTGCAGATACTGGACAATAACAAAACATTACAAGTATTCCTACATTAAAAAAAATTTGGTAAAAAATTTTCCCTACTATAAAGTAGGGAAATGTTTTTTTCAAAGTTGGATGTGATTCATAATAAACTATTTCAGCATTGTGGTGAAAATGCCAACATTGTCTTAAACCTATAAATTCAATGATTTAAAATAAATAAAATGATGTGTCACATTCCTATGTCTTTATTTTTTCCTCCTGGTTCTTACAACAGTCCATCCTGGTTCAACATCCTCATCCATTGGCTCCGACTCATTGCTTGGCCGAGATGATGATGCATGATCACCGTTTGACAAAGTAGGCACATTTTCATGGCCATCATCATCTTCGCCGCTGCTACTGGTGCTGTCATCATCTGGGTTACCATGACACTAGATAAAAAAAAACCTGCTTAAGATTGCTACTATACATCAATTTTGGCTTTTACATAAATTATGTGAGGTTAATATTAATCATAATGAATTAACTTGCATTGATAATAGCGTTAACAGGTATTGAATATTGATAAAAATTTGCAAATAATACTCTCGACTCCATAATATTGTCAATTCTTATTTAAAGTAAAACAATACATAAAATATAGTTTATAAAAATGTTTTGTGAATATATTATGTAATGAATAAGTGATAAATTTTTAACTTTTTACAATGAAACTTACTTGAGGGGGCACTGAGTCATGCATAGGCACACTAAGCCATTTCTGACATTTAGGCATAGCTTCTATTCTAGCTCGTAGTTCATCATGCCTTCCTTCTTTTAATAGACCAAGATACAGTATGAGAACAGTTGCAATCTCTGTAGAACAATTTAATGACTTTAATTTTAATTTTATCTTTGCTGAGACAATTCAATATTTAAAAAGATTTTTTTACTAATGTGAATACACTATTCAATAAGGAAAAATCATCAATAGAATAGATGAACAACTTAATATCAAAATAATTAAATTCTTTTGCTCACAGCTAATTTCATCTAATCATTTCATTCATATCTATACATTGGTCATTACAACACCGACAATAAATGAACACACGTCTAATGATACTTGCCAATAATCATATAAAAATATAAAATGTGAAAAAAAAAAAACAATAATTAAAAAAAAAAATTTCAAACACAAACTAATTAAATAAAAACGAACCAAAATTTGTAACGTCCTATACAATTACAATTGACTGATTCATACATTCAGATTTTTTCATTCGTTGCCAAAACGTCGCATTACAAGTCTCTCCTTCTAACAGTATCTTTTATCTCTTTTATATTCATTCAACCCATTCATATGGTTTGTGAACTTTAAAAATGAACTTTACGTTACAGTTTTATACGTAAGGGTGTTCTAAAAATGATTGTTTTGTAAACTTCAATAACTCGGTACATATTGATGTTAAAAGAATGTAAATGCTTAATACAATTTTAAGTTATCCTCTATATGTGTTAATTTCTATTACTTTCTAATTTCTACATGTTTTAATGTTCAAATCTTAAGTGCCGAGATTAGCACTATAAAAACCTTTATAATTAAAAAAAAAAAAAAACTATGTGTGTTCATTTATTGTCGTAGTTGTAATGACACGCTGTATATTATTAATATGTGAAGCAAAACATTTGTACCCCTTTTTACGAAAATTGCGCTGGCGGACGAGTATGAAATTTCTCACTTATAGTTTATGAAGGAGTGCAAAATGCCAATATTTTTATAAAATTATGCATAAGAATACATTAAATCAATTTTAAAAAATTACATACATTACCATATATAATTATGGTCCACTTGTAGATATAATAACATCTTTGTATGTCTTTATTAAGATCTTACTAACTTAACAACATATAATTTGCTTAAATATGTAAACATACCTTTTGGTGAATTATCATGGCATACAGTTTCAAACTCTTCATCCATCAAATCCTCTAATAATTCAGTGAGATCATCTACATCCACAACATTCTCAACACAATATCTTGCAATATCAACTGACATGAGTTGAGCGGTCTAAAAAGAAAAAAAAAATCATTTTCTCGGCTGAGTTTAACTTGATCCAAACAAGTCAACGGTATATACTCTTGAAAAAAGGAAGTAAGTATAGAGATAGGATATATTTGTCAGTTGTGAATTCACAAATGTATAAAAACAAAATATTTTGGTTAAAAACATCGTAACTGATATTCTGATAAATAAGTTTTGCAGTAATAGAAAAGTACGGGTAAAAGCTAGTGTGATACTTGACGTTCCTTTAATACTTAGGCTTTGGCGGAATTCCTTTAATTAATTAGATTTAATTAACAGGACTTCAATAACTTATCGCAACCACCTTTTCACCTCCCGGAGCACCCATTCCATGCTCAACAGCTAATTGTAATGCAGTCCAGTTGTTTAAAACTAAATCCACAATTGGCTTAAAATCATCGTACAACATTTTTGTACACACAAGATTAAATTAGTTCATTCACACGATTTTTCATTAATATAATTCTAAACATAACCTCAAAAAACTTGAATTAAATATAATCGATTAATCGATTATGTCACAGAATGAATAAAACAAAGACATTTACAGATGAACATAAAATAGGTATATAAGGTAAAGGGCAAAACGTGGTCAAAAATCACTAGCGTGACCAGATTTTATTTGACGAATCTACTGCTTGTCGAGGTTAAAAACTACTGAATTCTACCAAAAGAGAACGAGAAAATACTACAATCATAAATCTAGTATATTTTTTGCTGTCGTGTAAACATGATTTTTCTTGATTAAATGATAAAGTAATAAAAATAACAAAGAAATCAATGTTTTTTTAAGTAAAATTCTAAATAAAATATAATAAAAAAAAAAAAAAATTAAACTTGAAGTAAAAATTTTTCGTCTTTATGTTGGGTAACATTGTCATAAAGCTGTTTTGAGTCCATATGATCATACTTCTGTCACGATCAAATATCCTACATCCTCCTTACAACTGACCCCTCGTCACCCTTCTTTTCCATGCATTATTGCATGTAACATTGTTACTTATTACATCAATTTGATCTTAATTTTTAATCCTATTAATATCGGAAAATATTCTTTCTACTTTGGCGTTTGCCAAAGGTAGTATCGTCATTTGCTTCACAAATCGGGACATATTGCCATACTTTGGTTTGCTATTAGCATCACAGATTTGGCTGACATCACTCCAAAATGTATCCACCAAAAACTTCAAACATTTAACTAGTAGTTGACAGTGAATGTTTCTTAACATAATACATGTTCATACTACTGCGTAAGTCGAAAATATTAAAAAAAAAGTCTTAACAAGAATAATTAACTAAGAATTACATTCCACATATTAACGTTAGTAACTTGCATACCTGAGAAATGCCGGAATATCCTTTCATATTTTTTTATATGCTTTGATGTAGCCATGTTCCTTCAACGACGCCAGTCTACTTAGTACTTCACAGTTGCATGCTTTACAATGAGCACTCGTAGAGTTTACCTTAGATTTACATAACCAACTTTTAAATGAGGGATATTGCTCTCATTCATCACGATATCCTTGTGTATATTTAAGTTTCATTTTAAACTCGATTATAAAAATTCTCAATAAAGGAATTCCCACTAGTCTATCACAGTCTATGCTCACGGCACGAATCAAACAACCAAAAGAATGAAAATTAAATAGTAACAATCCATTCTATGAAAGGGGGAATACCCCGCATTTATCCGATAAGCCAAAAAAGTACTAGAATAACTGAAAAGCGTGAATTCTACTAAAATATACCAAATAATTTTTACATACTAAATTCTGTTGTCAGTACCTCAAAATCTACCAAAAAGGTAGAAATCTACTAAATCTGGTCACGCTGTTCATGACACTGTCAGTTACAATTTAGATTTTAGTTGACATTGACAGTGACAACAGTAAACAAAATTAGCGGGCTGAATCCGGAGATTTTAAGTTATTTGAATTGCACGATGTATTCATAGTAATCGACCCATTAATATTAAAACATTTATTACAAAGCTATAGAAGGTAAAAAAATGGCAGAGGATATAAATGTTACGTTTATTATACCAAAGGACTGTGTTAATGAAGACGATTGTTCGGAGGAAATGAAACTCGCCTTCACCGTAAGTTCAAGAATAAATAAATGAAATAATTGTAGTTAAATTTATAATTTTATTGTGAGTAGTTATCAATAAAATTGGTAAGAAAGCTTTTATTACTTTAATTGTAGGCTTGTGAGCAGTACAGCGGCGGTGGCCTCAGAGCCAAATGGGTTAATGAAAACGATTGGAATAAGTTTGATGGTTTAACCAAGAGGGATGTTTTTGTTCTGACAGCATTTGAAGGAGAAATATATGATAAATTAAAAACAACAAGGAGCCTGTAAGTATATTAAAATTGATAGAGCAATACTCTAGTATTGAGTTAGTAATTTGTATGAATTGATGATTGGTCACATTATAAATATATATTTGTTTATTGGATTTTTTTTCTATTTATGGATATTTATATGGCTTACATAAAATGGGGTATTTTTTAATTTACCTCATAACAGTAAATATATCGTTTCAGGTTAGTAGGTCCCCGTTGCTTATCATGTTCATTAATAGAAGGAGCACCAATACCAAGAGGTCCGGAGCCTGTATTCACTATTGCCATGAGGGGCCTGGTTATCACTGCAAGTGGTTTGACAAAAAGCAAAAAGGTAAAATCATAAATTTTGATACCTAATGTTTTAATACCTTTTTTTATGAATAACTTATAGTATGGGTAAATTAATTTGTTAATAAACCTTAAAATTTACTGGCAATACGCTCTTCACAAATTATAGAGTTGTGTGATGAGCATGTTTTACATTTTAAAGTTTTTTATTTTTACAGGAGAATATAAAGCAAAAAGTTCACTGGATGGGTGGTATATATAATACAGTCTTGACCGATGACACTACACACTTAGTGTCTGACACAGTCCTATCGGATAAGTATATTGTAAGTTTTTAATTATAAAACCAAACTGTCAACATGATGAACCTAATCTGCTAAATAATTATTCACTTGGTACTGAATTTGACAGCTCCAATAAATGTGTAATATCTATTATAAAACTATTTATAATTGGAGTCTTTTTATTATATTTATTAATTAGGCATTTTCATCATGATGTCTCTATTGGTAACCATATTGTTGTTATTTGCTGTTCCCTCTTCATAGTCATTGCTATTGTTCAGTGCGTAATTCTTTTAATGTGAAAAGGTGGCAAAGGACTTGGTGGTTCACCTGATGTTAAATGATAACTGCTATTCAGCTAAATTAACATGTTCTTTATACTTTGTGCATATATTTCAAATACCATTTCCAAAGATGTGTGTGATACGTGCCTTTCCCTTAGCAGTATTTGTACTTTACACCATTATCATCTATTTCTAAAAAATACTGCGAAAAATTACATGCTTTTGGCTCCTCCGTGCTTTTTTGTATGTGAAAAGGTGAAAAGTGGGCTGCTGGTTCACCTGATGTTAAGTGATAATCAACACCCATTGACATTTGCAACACCAATAATTTTTGTTTGATCATCATCATCATTTCAGCCTGTTTGAGTCCACTGCTGAACATAGTCCTCCCCTACACACCTCCCTTGCTTGATACAAATGATATGTGATACAGGGTTGAAAACAAGTTTCGTTGTTTTTATAATTCACTGAGAGTAAAATAGAACATATTACTCTTTCGTAGAAATCTGTGGAGAAGGGAATACCAATAATGCAAGAGAGCTGGGTCGAGGCTGTGTGGGTGGCGTCCCTGCAGATGAATGTAAACGGCTCATCGGCAGACTTCGATGGGCACCGTCTGCCCCCGTTCGCGAACCTTCAAGTCACCACCTCCGGCATCTCTAAGAAGGATAAGCAGATGATAATGAAACTGGTTAACGAATACGGGGGCGCCTTCTCGGGTGCATTCCAAAGTGAGACAACAGATGTCGTGGTTTTGACTAAGTAAGTTGGCACAAAAGACTGGTTACTTTTTAACTTTTAGTTTAATGTTGTGCCAGACTAATAAGTGGAGACCCTATTTTATTTTCCTTTTTTTAATTTCATATCTTACTGTATGTAGTATTTGAAACACATTTCAAGTTTAGCATGATAACTTATTACAGAGATGGGGTGGGCAGTGAGAAGTACAAAGCTGCTTTGGAGTACGGGAAGGCGTGCGTTTTGCCGTCGTGGGTGAAAGATTCAGCCACCAGAGGGGTCGCGCTGCCTCTAGCAAAGTACAGAGTGGCCGGTGCCTCCACTTCCTCACCGCTAGCTGAGCACCGCTTGCCTGATATGAGTGAGCTTCAATCAACTTGTCTTCCTCCCTATTGAAGTTTACTTATACTCCTTTCGGCGCGTTTGGATTAAATTATGATTGTGAATGGTTTACTATGCCTGACACCTAAAAGCAACACAAAGGGAGATCGACTTGAGCGGTTGTAGGTTTTTGACGTACCCACGTGTTTAAGTTTATTTTCTGTAATTTATAATCAAATATTTCAGTTGTGTTTTGTGGTTGTGGTTATATAATATTATTATTAGTGGGTAAGTGTTATTGTATTACATGTAATCGTTTTCAAGTACAATGTGTGATGCAGGAGATGATGATCCTCCTCCTGGTGGAGGTGGGGTCTTGTCCTCTGATGTAGACATGTCGGTCCCTATTACTGGTCAATGTGCTTCATATAGTCGTCCTCTGAAAAGATCAGCGGATACAGAAATCGCCAGTATCCCAAAGAAAAATATAACTCCATCTGCTTCTATTCAGGATTCATATACCAGGCCTGGTTTTGAACCTGATAAGAAAATTAGGTATGATGAATTTAGCCAAGGTCCTTTCACTGTCCATGTGTCTCGTATTGAAGCTCATCCTTCTGAAGGGCTCTATTAAAATTCTTAACTTTGCTCAGCTATTGCATAAAAACAAGGTTACTGGTATTGTTTGTGATGGTATCAAGTTATTAGGCCGCAATAAAATTTCTGTCCAATTCGAAAATTATATAGAAGCTAACCCATTTATCCAGAACCCAATGTTACTCAAAAATAACTTCTCTGCAGAAGTCCCAAAGTTTTTAGTTTCTCCAATGGGTGTTGTCCGTCAAATACCTTTGGACTGGACCCTCGAAGAGTTGGTTTCTGGTCTACAGTGTCCCTCCAATTGTGGACCTGTGATAAAGGCCAGACGAATTTATATTAAAAATCGCCTTAATAATAATCCTAAGCCAACTTGGGAACCATCCACCACAGTAGTGTTGACCTTTCTAGGTCAAACCCTCCCTGAGAAAGTTTACTGTTTTCATGCTTCACTTCCAGTTTCTGTTTATCAACTTCCTACCATACAGTGTCATAATTGCTGTAGATTTGGACATGTTCGTGCCCAATGCAGATCTAAATCTAGATGCTTTAAATGTGCGCAACAACACCCTGGAGACTCCTGTACGGTATCTGATGCTTTGTGTCTTCTCTGCAGAGGACATCACAAAGCCACAGATCCTACATGTCCAGAACATTCACGACAGAAGAACATTAAACACAGAATGTCTCTAGAGAATATTAGTTATTCTGAAGCATCAAGCCGCTTCCCTGTCTCTAGACAGTCATTTGCTGATGTACTTTGCTCCTCTCCAAGAAATTCTCTTGGTCCTTCCCTCTCCCAGTCAAATATTCCTACTCCTGCAAATTTTCACTGTCCTCTCCCTCCACAACAAACCTTGACCTATGAACCCTCTCCATCCCAACATAGGTCCTCATATTTTAGTCATAAATCTCTTCCTCAGCATCCTCGTCCTAGATCGCCTCTAAGCCCATCTTATGATAAACGCGCCCACCTAGAAATTATTAGAACTCCCAAATCCTCTCAACCTAACGGCAGTGCTCTTAATGTTAGCCCTACTCCACACGTTACTCCTAATGATAATCTGATTGAGTTACTCACATGTAGTCTGATAAACATGGTTTCAAAATTTTGTGACTCACTACCGAACAATGTCTTGCCCTTATTAGAACAGCTCCTAGATACAATTATAAAAAAAAACCGTGACATTCAACACCCTTCAATGGAATTGTTGAAATGTGCGTCATAAGAAGGCTGATTTAATATTTCTATTAAACAAATATGATCCTGTTGTGTGTGCTATTGCAGAGACTTGGTTGAGGCCTGGCTCCAGTTTTAGGATTCCAGGGTACTCATCCTTGCGGGATGATAGAGATGATGGTTGGGCTGGGTGTGCTTTATTTATTAAGAGATCAGTACCCTTTACAAGGCTCCATATTCCCTCTCATCCTTCAGATTTCCACATTGTTGCGTCTAGAGTTGTGGCATATCTTTTGTTTTCATTTATATTCCCCATCCCAATCCTAACATCATTTCTAATATTAGCTCTATTCTTTCCTCCATTCCAGCTCCTCTTCTAGTGTTAGGAGATTTTAATTGTAAAAATACTTTGTGGGGTTCCCATGTTTGTGATCCCTCATCACATTTTATTATAGATATGCTAGACAATTTAAATCTGGTTCTATTAAATGATGGGTCACCTACAAGGAGAGTATCACCACTACAAAATGCTTCTGCCATAGATTTGTCTATCTGCTCAACTGTTCTGTCATCTTCTATTAACTGGATGGTCCTGGCTAATTCCTATGGAAGTGATCACTTCCCCATTGTTTTAAACCTATTTGAAGTTGTTGTTCCAACAATCAAATATGACCCTCTGTTGAAGTACAGACTTAATTTAGCTGACTGGAACAAATTTTCTCTTTTAGCTGTCCTCTCTTTCCCCCAATTCATCCCTATTCCATACTAATTTTAATGATACTTATGACTACTTTGTGTCTTCTTTGCTAAGTTCTGCTGACCAATCTATTCCCTTAAAGAATACTGCTCGCAAATGCCTTCCTTCCCCTCCCTGGTGGGATAGGGATTGTACTAACAGTGTGCGGTTCCGCAACGACGCTGAACGCAAATACGTAGCTGATCTCACAATAGGTAATTATTTACAGTATCAAAAAGCCTGTGCACAAACTAAGAGACTTCTTAGCAAAAAGAAAACTCTAGGTTGGCAGAGGTTTTGTGAATCTTTGGCGCCTCGAACTGCCCCTTCCTTCGTTTGGAAACGTATTAAATCCTACCGCAGGTCTTGTGATACTAATAATAACTCAAGTACTTATCAAACAGAGAGATGGCTATCAACCTTCATTAATAATTTATCACCCCCCTACGTTCCATTTCGTGACTGTTTCCCTATGGATTATTCTCATTCTTTTATCTACCCTGATAAAATGAATGATGAATTTTCCGACCCTGAACTTCTTTGTGCCTTAGACCATCTCCATGACTCCTCACACGGAATAGATGGAATTCCTTACTCCTTTATTATTAAGTCTAACAAATTTACTCAGCTTTTCTTCCTTAATATCATTAACACTGTTTTCTTATCCTGTAATATCCCTGACTCATGGAAAACTCAAATCATCATTCCTATTCTCAAACCTGGCAAAGACCCAGATGAAGCCTCATCTTATCGCCCCATAGCTCTCTCCTCTACTTTATGTAAAATCATGGAACATTTAGTCAAAAACCGTTTAGAGTGGATCCTAGAAAACAGGGGAATACTATCCAATAATCAATTTGGTTTCAGACGGGGTATGGGAACATAGGATAGTTTAAGTGTCTTAGTTTCCAGAATTCGTCTAGCTTTCAGTGAAAATCAACATGTTGTTGGAGTCTTTCTGGATGTGCAATCGGCCTATGATAATGTCCAGATTCCAATACTCAGGCAGAAAATGCTCCAACTGAGTATCCCAGTGAGACTGGTAAATTTCATTTTTAATCCATCAGCGCGCACAGAAATAGAACGGCCACGTTCTATTTCTGTGCGCGCTGATGGATCCATTCAACCACCTAGATTAGTTTGGAAGGGGTTACCCCAGGGCTCCGTACTTAGCCCCTTGTTATATAACGTGTACACCCATGATCTTGAACACTCTGTTTCCCCCTTTTGTAATATTTTACAATACGCTGATGACATAGCCCTGTACTCCATTTCATCTTCATTAATTGATGCTGCTGATAAGGCTAACTCTGCACTAACAAAATAAAATTTTTAGGTGTTATATTAGATTCTAAGTTAACTGGTGTCCACCATCTTAATTATATTAGCAATAAGTGTGAAAATAGTGTTAATGTCATAAGATCTCTATCAGGTGTCCGTTGGGGTACTCATCCATTTTGTCAAAAGTTATTATATAATGCTATTGTTAGATCATATTTTGATTATGGTAGTTTTTTTTTGGAACCATGTAATAAGAATGCATTAAATAAATTACAGAAGATTCAATTTAAATGTCTGCGCATCATCACTGGTGCCATGAAATCCTCTCCTAATTTGGCATTACAAGTTGAATGCCTAGAGCCTCCCCTTAGAAGACAGTTTCTTGCTGATAGATATCTATTTAACATTTCTCAATACATGCATCACCCCCTTTTAAAAACATTACATTCCTTGTCTCAATTAGCAAGTACTTATGATTACTGGAAACATAAGGACTTGCCTCTGCTACTTAAGTCATATCGAAAAATTTGTAATCTTTCTAATCCTGTTTTCAAAATTGAAAAACACCCAATTTTTATGGTTGACTATATGTCATTAGTTTATAGGCCTAGGGTTATTCTGTCCTTGGGAATTGATAAAAACTCACCCTACCCACACATACAATTTAATAGGATTCTTGAAAATGAATTTAAAGGTTGACTCACTCTATACACGGATGCCTCAAAATTGTCTGCAAACTTAGATGTAGGTGCTGCAGTCTGAATACCTAAGTATAAAATTATATTGAGCTTTAAATGCCCCTCTGTAACTTCTATTTTCAGTGGGGAAGCAATAGCTTTGCTAGAAGCTGTATCTTATATTAAATCTCATCATCTTAATAAATCTATAATTTTCTCCGATTCATATAGTTGCTTACAAGATATCTTAAAAGTTCCATTTCGCTCTAAGGAGAACTTTTTCATAACACTCAAAATTAAACAAGCATTATATAATTGCCATTGTGCTGGTATAGAAGTAGTTTTAGCATGGATCCCAAGTCCACAAGACCACAGTGGTATTTCTGGAAATGAGCAAGCAGATTGTTGTGCCAAAGAAGCAATCCAGATGGGATGTTCCACCTATAATAAATGTTTTGTTCGTGATCTGCGGCTATCTTCTAAACAGGACATGATAAGAACTTGGAGTACTATGTGGCAATCAATTGGACATAGAAGGTGTAAATACTATGGCTTAATTCAACCATTTATCCCTACCAAACCTTGGTTCTTTAAATACCGCTGCTATAACAAAAATACCACATCTATTATCATCAGGTTAAGACTAGGACATGTGTGCTCTCCAGTGTTCTTGGCTAAACTTCGTATTCGAAACACTTCCTTATGTGAATGTGGGCTAGATGAACACTTGACCATTTATTTTTTAATTGTTTACTTTGTTAACTGTCTCTTTATATGATTTACTTCCATCCAATGTTGCTCGCCCTGTGAATGTTAAGTGTCTATTAACTCTTGTTTATACTCCATTTATTAAAACTCTAGTTAAATTTATAGAGATTAACAATATATGTCTTTAAGTTGTTGTCATCAATTTAAAAAAAAAAAAAAAATTATGTCCTGTTTTTATTTTTCATATATTTGAGTGTTGTCTTCCATTATTAATTTGCATGTTACTAACGTTGTGTTGTTCCTTTGTTTACAGGTACACAAATGAAATAATTTTAAACAAAATAATATATATTTTCATTGTCCTAACCTTATCAAGTTGATCTCAAAGTTCTTAGTTATTGGCAAAATCACTGACGTATCAGTGGAGCCATAGTAGGGAAAAAAAAAAAAAAAAAAAAAAAAAAGCAACAAACTTTATGGTACCTACCGTGGCAAATAGTGACACCTTTTTGACATTCAGTTATAATTCCAAGTTATTCAATGAGACAGTTGTCATTTGCATTTAGTAACTTTTCTTTTCTCAAATAAAGAGCGCTGGCACAGGGTTTATTTCTTTTTTATGATAAAGAAGTATAAATTCTTAAGTGCGTACATAAGTATGCAAATTTTTTTTTATACTTAAAAAAACTTCTACTGCCATATGATAAGTAATGTATCCGTTAAACCCAACTAAGTTTTCTGCTGAGTAGTTAATTAATTATTACCATATAAACTGTACTTGTCTATGTATTGGTTGCTCTTGCTTTGTATTAAAAAAAATTAGACTTACTAAAACTGCTTAACCTACCAACCAATATCACCTTCTAATTACAAAGCAACTTGTGTTTGTTAAATAAAAATATTTCTGTTTTCAGGTTTAAACTTTTCTCGCATAACAAATTTGAGGCCGCCAAGCAATTTCGTTGACGAATCCAGATCCGTTGATATGTCAACAATATCGGGAAGAACAAAGGTATTATATGCTTTGTTTATAAGCATTAATGCTTGTTTCTTCTATAATACAAAATACTTCTATAATCAAACGGGGTTGTAACCAGTTCTTTAGTTGAACCCGCATACACAACGGGCTCGCTTGGTGCTATATTAGTAACACGAAAAGGTATAAAAAAGAAAATAAATAATCTTGAAATAAATAAGGGACCCGGCCCAGACGGCATACCTCCTGTATTTATTAAAAGCTGTGGCGAACATCTATCCCTACCATTGTCTTTAATATTTAATCACTCATTACGTACCGGTAAATTCCCGACAAAGTGGAAAAAAGCTCGTATTGTTCCAATACATAAAAAAGGTGACGAAACCGTAATATCTAACTATAGACCTATCTCCATTCTCTCATGCTTTTCAAAACTTTTTGAATCTGTAGTCTGCCCACAAATTACGCGTCATATTAATGCCATCATAGATGACTCTCAACACGGTTTCCGCAAAGGTCGTTCGACTGAAACTAACTTACTCACCTTTATTTCGCATGTTTCACAAGAGGTTGATAAAGGATCACAGGTAGATGTCATCTACACAGATTTTTCGAGTGCGTTTGATAGGGTGAACCGTGACCTACTAATCTTAAAACTAAAATCGACGGGCATACACGGTTCGTTACTTACGTGGTTTAAATCATATATTGAAAGAAGGTCACAGTTAGTTGCAGTAGGTGGGTATGAATCTAGCACATACTACTCAGAATCAGGCATTTCACAAGGCTCACATTTAGGTCCCATACTTTTTTCCCTGTTTATAAACGATGTCACATCTAAAATCAAACATAGCAAAGTTTCACTCTTTGCCGACGATCTTAAGTTATATAGGCTCGTAGAATCAAATTCACCTTCATATCTCCTACAGCGTGACGTAAATAGTCTAGTGGAATGGTGTAAATCAAACGATATGTTATTAAATCCCCAAAAATGCTTTCACGTAAAATTTACGAAAAAGGAAACCCTATCCATCTGATTATCACATAGAGAATACGCTGCTTTCGGAAACGAACGAAATAAAGGATCTGGGAGTTATCCTAGACTCGAGACTCAGTTACATTCCTCATATCGATAAAATCGTTAAAAAATCTGCACAGACACTAGGATTTCTCAAACGAAACACTAAAGGGTTCCAAGCTAAAACAAAAATCACAGTTTATAACATGCTAGTACGGAGTCAATTAGAATACGCAAGTTCCGTGTGGAATCCATCATACGCGGTACATTCTCAAAGAATTGAAAATATCCAAAGAGCCTTCACGAGACATATCGCTTGTATCACTAGCGGAATATCATACCGATGCCCATATAAATACCGACTTGAATTTTTTAATATGCCAACATTAAAGGATCGAAGGACAATTCACGACCTATTAATGCTACATAAAATTTTACATGGTCATACCTCATGCAGTGAACTACTAAGTAACTTTGCCCTAGCCGTTCCCTACAATCTCCCCCGGCGCCCTATAACAAAACTTTTCTGGACTCCACCTCATAAAAGTAACTTGGGTTTGCATGCTCCGTAACGCGTTTCTGTAATTCTTAAAATGCCATCTGTGAAGAACTACCCAGAATGGATTTATTCCATTTAAATTTTATAAAATTCAAGAAATTAATACTGGGTCATGTCCGTTAATGTTTTTATTATTAATCAGATAATTCCTTTTTAATTTAGATTGTTGTATTCATTCTGTATTTTGTATTGTAATAATGAAATTTATTTGTATTTTATAAGTTTTAATTAATGTCGATTCTTTTTTAATATTATTAATTTAATTTTAATTTTTTTTCTTTTTGAATTTTTGCTTGTAATTCTTTAATTCTTATTTTCTTTTTCATATTTTTACTGAAGTTATTTGCTGTTAAATATTTTTGCATTATTGTCTCGATTATTCTTGTATTTAGCTGAAACAATGCTGTGTCACCTAATAAGGTACATACATCAGAATTTTTTTTTTTGTAATCTTATTGATTAAACGTTAAATGCATGTACTGCTGGTGTCCTTTAAATAAATAAAAAAAATAAAAATACAAAATGAGACGGACAAGTCAAAAACAAGGCTTATTATTGTATTAAATTCTCATGAACGTCGAAACTATCTAACTTCTACAAAGATTTAATTTATATATTTTCCTTAATACAAATAACTATAGTGACATATAGTATAAAAAATAAAAATTTTTGGGAAACGTAAAATAACCGCGGTAATCGGAGGGGAGTGAGTAATATGAAAGAGACCAAATTATACGTTATGTAGCTTTCTAAAATCGGCCCATGTTTTAATAAGAGTCGAAAAAGGTACCATGATTTTTTTAATAAGGTTATTAATTTTTACAGCTATCCCAAGAGGGGAAAAGGTCGAACGAACACGCCGGCATCGACAAAGAGATAATGGCGGAGTTTGAATCGTTTGACATGAGCTGTTTGAAAAAGGCGGGTCCAATATTCGACGGGTTTTGCGTGAGTAATGAAAAAAAAAAAAAAAAAAAAAAAAACCTGTGTGTGTACTATGTACTCATTTCACGTGGTTAGGATGACGACACTTAGCTTAGTGGCTAAAACGTCTGCACGTCTAAACTCCGCTCGAACCCTGATGGCGGTGGCAAATTTTGCAACAGTTTTATTTACAAATTTTAAGTTTTATCTGCAGAGACTAACACTCAATTAAAATTAAATGTCTAGTAAAAACCGGCCAAATGCGAGTCGAACTCGCGCACGAGTATATTTTTTATATTGTTTTTTAGTATTTGTTGTTATAGCGGCAACAGAAATACATCATCTGTGCAAAATATCAACTGTCTTACTATCACGGTTCATGAGATACAGCCTGGTGACAGACGGACAGTAAGACCGACAAACAGGCTTGCGATTTCCCGATTCATCGAACCGCGCGTTCTACGAGTTCCGCATCACGCGTTTTTTTTTTAAATTATCTTAGCATTTATTTCGTTTTGAATTCCGAATCATGCGTGTTTTTTCTTTCGCTATCGTAGCCCCCCGTCTTGGGATGTCTCCATACGGCCTAAATCGCGTTCCAGCCTAAATCAGACGGGCCTCGAGGCCGTGTGCCGCGAGCGCGCCGCCTCGTGCGTCTTAATGAATTATCTAAGCCCCCAGTCTTGGGATGTCTCCACGCAGCCTAGATCGCGTTCCAGATCTGGCTGACGGGCCTCGAGGGCGTGTGCCGCGAGCGCGCCGCCTCGTGCGTCTTAATGAATTATCTAAGCCCCCAGTCTTGGGATGTCTCCACGCAGCCTAGATCGCGTTCCAGATCTGGCTGACGGGCCTCGAGGGCGTGTGCCGCGAGCGCGCCGCCTCGTGCGTCTTAATGAATTATCTAAGCCCCCAGTCTTGGGATGTCTCCACGCAGCCTAGATCGCGTTCCAGATCTGGCTGACGGGCCTCGAGGGCGTGTGCCGCGAGCGCGCCGCCGCGTGCGTGTCGCGCTGCGGCGGCGTGCGCTACGACGCGGCGGGCGCGCGCGTCACGCACGCGGTGGCGGGGGGCGCGGCGGCCGCGGCGGCGGCGCGCGCGCTGCCCGCGGTGCCCGTGCTCAGCGCGGCGTGGCTGCTGCGGAGCGCGCGCGCCGGGCGGCCGCTGCCCGAGGCGGAGGTGCGTCGAGCGATCTCTACTTGAAAAAACTAGCTACTGCCCGCGACTAAGTCTGCGTAGAATAGGCTGATGGCGTAATATACAGACGGAAAGACAGATATACATAAAAATTATATATATATATATATATAAATTATAGCCTATGGGTTTTTCTGATGTATAAGCAATATTATTGTAAAGTTTAATTAAAATCTATTCAGTAGTATTTGCCTGAAAGAGTGTGATATCCATCCATACATACATACTTTCGCCTTTATAATATTAAGTAAGGATTTAACTGTGGTAGGGCCACGCAACAGTGTTCGCTGTTGCACGAATGGGCAGGTCCGTCCGGGTAAGTACCACGACCTCGCAGAAGACCGGCGTCAAGTGGAAGTGTTACACTTCTTTTTTTCGTCTGGTCAGTTAGGTAGCCGGGGCCCACTTTGTTAGAAGGTGACAACGCATCTGCAACCCTATGGTTGTTGCAAATGTCCATGGGTGCCCTCAACGGACCCAGATGCTCACTAAAACCCTGCCGATTGCTCAGTTCCTGCTGGACGCGAAGCCGGCCACGCCCGCCAAGTGCCGCGCCCGCCCCGAACCGGCCTCCCCTATGAGCAAGCGCAACCTGCAGCTGCTGCGCCACGCGCCCCTCCACCTGCCGCCGCCCACCCCCGAGCTGCCCGAGCCCCAGGACGACCTCGTCAACCATTACCTGAGCCGTGAGCTGCTCATACGTTCATACTGCGCAGGGGTCAAGTTGTTCGGCCGTTTAGTACGCGCTCTGACCGCTCCGCTGCTCCTGTGTTCATACTGTGGAGGGGTCAATGGAGCCCCAGGACGAGCTCGTCTACCATTACCTGAGCCGTGAGCCGCACATGCGTTCATACTGCGCAAGGGTCAAGTTGTTTGGCCGTTTAGTACGCGCTCTGACCGTTCCACTGCTCCTGTGTTCATACTGTGGAGGGGTCAATGGAGCCCCAGGACGAGCTCGTCTACCATTACCTGAGCCGTGAGCCGCACATGCGTTCATACTGTGCAGGGGTCAAGTTGTTCGGCCGTTTAGTACGCGTTCTGACCGCTCCACTACTCCTGTGTTCCTACTGTGCAGGGGTCAAGTTACTCCACCGTTTAATATCGCGCTCTGACCGCTCCGTTATAATATTCTATCCACAGATAGATTTGGTTACCGGACATAGAATTTTGGCGTAAATATTAGAACTTTTAGTTGATGTAAAATATCGATCGCTAGTAACAAATCTATCTGACGATAAAATATTGAAAACAGCCGTTATAAAGGGTATTGAAAGTATGCATCTCCAAATGTAACATAGTAGTCGCATATTTACCGTCTCGGTTTGGACATAAATGCAAACAGTGTCTGGATAATATTGTGGTTTTTTGCGAATTTTGTTCAAAATAAAAACTAATATAAAAATAGGTGAGAGCACATACAATACTTTTACAATTAAATTTGCGAATTTAGTTCACAATAAAAACTAATATAAAATTAGGTGAGAGCACTTACAATTAAATTCCAAAAGTATCGGATATTTATGCAGTAATTTTCAATTTAAAACCAACTGTAGCTATGGACAACATTGACATAAGAAGCAATCCACGCCGCGACCATGAATGAATCAAGAAATTAGAAACATAATGAGCTTAAGTCAAAATTGAAAACGATTTCATCCTTAAAACAGTCTAATTAAAAAGCACCGAGTGGGGAGCTTTAGGAAGGTTGACCACCCCTGTAATGACTCGACCGTTATCACGTCGCCCTTAGAAAACGTGCCGGAACCAGTACGAGAAAAGACCCCGGAACCGCCGGCGGCCGACCCCACGTTGGTACCCCAGCAACCAGATCCCACGGAAGATTTAGAAGAACCCACCGAAGAAATTGAGCAGATATTCAGAGGTACTTTATTTTTTTGTATTATTTGTTGGTGAGAGGTATGAGAAAGAATTTTTTGATTATCGTGATGTTTGTCGATCCGCAGTGGGTGCGCGTGTCAGATAACGCCTTGTAACCTTTGTACAAATGAGATTTGTCTAGCAATGGGCTACATATAGCTTTTATTGTCTTTAATTTTTCTTCTTTATCTTCTATTTCTTCTTCTTTTTCGTCTTTAATCTTTTTGACCATTGCCCAGTGGAACCTATGACGTATGTAGTTTTTAGGGTTCCGTACCCAAAGTGTAAAACGGGACCCTATTACTAAGACTCCGCTGTCCGTCTGTCTGTCTGTCACTCAGTCCGCTTTATTTCATGCACCGTGATAGTAAGACAAATTAATTTTCACAGATGATGTTTCTGTTGCCGCTACAACAAAAAATACTAAAGAACAGAATGCAAAACAAATTTTAGCGGGGCTCCCATACGACAGACGTCATTTTTTTATAGATAATGGTACGGAACCCTTCGTGCGCGAGTCCGACTCGCAATTGGCCGGTTTTGTATCTCTCGTTTACACAAGAAACCTGTTGCCCCTCAGGCGTGACGATCGAGGTGCAGGGGCTGGACGAGGAGGCGGCGTGCGAGCTGGGCGCCGAGGTGGCGGCGGCGGGGGGCGCCCTCGCCGCGGCGGGGGCGGGGGGCGAGTATGCCCTCGTGCCGCTCGACTTCGACGCCGACGAGCTGGTCACGAGGGGCGCCGAGCCTGTCACCGTCTTCTGGGTGGTCCGTGCCCCTTCTCACATTTTCAGCGTGGTCGACCCCCTTGTGCCAGTTCTCTCGGGGAGCTGTGCGCCTACTCCACGGAGCGAATGAAGAGTCAAGTTGAGCCTCTCAGGGGTCCTCGAGAATAATAGTAGAATAATTACTCATAAACGAGGTCTAGGCTTGATCCACTCAGCGTCCTGCCACCTCAAGCCTTCTGAATCCGTAAAGACCTCCTAAAGGCCAACAGTGACTAACATAAGTGGAAAAAAAAAACCTATCCTCATCGCTTGGATGTGCGGCTCATAGACGGACGGTGTCGTATTTAAACTAAAAGGGAAATATCCTAATATTTAAAGCACACAACTGTATCCAACATAGGAAGTGTAAAAGTATTATTCTGTATGAGTATAAGCATTCAGTTAACCCAACGATGGTCCAGAGAAATCACGTTACGTGCATTGAGTGTAACGTTAATAAACCTATTATAGAAACTTTTATATTCTGAACAACTGCTGTTCTCACTGCTGATACTGTCGACAGAGCTATAGAGTTTGATCGGTGGTAGGGCCACGCAGCAGCCTCGGCTGTTGCACGAATGGGCAGGCCCGTCCGGGTAAGTACCACGACCTCACAGAAGACCGGCGTAAAGTGGAAGTATGAGAAATACTTTCGTGTTTCGTTTGGTGAGTGAGGTAGCCGGAGCCCAATTTTCAAAATGTTGTCAACGCATCTGTAAGCCTCGGGTGTAGCAGATGTTCATGGGCGGCGGTATTCACTTAACATCAGGTGACCCGTCTGCTCGTTTGGCAACTTTTGGCATAAAAAAAAAAAAAAAAAAAAAGCTAGCCGACTGGGCACCGTCCTCACGTGCTACGTGTTATACTGTCAAATATTCTATTGCAGAAAGACTGCCTGTCGCAACAAGAGCTGCTGCCTATCCAGTACTATCATCGGCCGGTGCGGCTGCCCCAATGGAGCGGTCCACCGCCTCTCCACGGTGTGGTTGCCAGTCTGAGCACGTACAGCGGCGTCGAGAGGGCCTTCCTCGATGAGCTGGCTAAACTGCTGGGTGCCACGTGAGTCCATCCCATTCTGCTGCCCCTATTGCCCCCAAGCTCCATTGCCTACAAGCACCATTGCCCCTAAGCCCCCATTGCCCCTAAGCCCCCATTGCCCCTAAGCCCCCATTGCCCCTAAGCCCCCATTGCCCGCCACTGAAACCCAATGACCCGATAGCAGATTCTTACTTCACGTGCACGACGGGGATTGCATTGAAATTTGGTGAACTTGTGATTGAGCCCAGGTGTTGCCGCCATATCATACTAATTTGAATATTCCCGCATTAAGATGCCAATTACATCGACAAATCATACTTCCTTTAAATCCATCATTTCATTCGTTCGCAACCGGCACTGTCCGTTCAAACCGCACGCGCGATGGACAATTATATAGTGTAACCGCTCGCCTTTAACACCGCATCAACGCTTCTTTTACTTTAAATTATTAACTTTATAAATCACGGCCGTGAATGTGCAAATCTGTTGTAACTGTGCATGACTTATAATCCGAGTGCCTCGCTGACTGAAGCCGATGGAAGATTCGTCGCTGGAAGCCTCCAGGTCAGTGCGTGCTCCATGATTCGTCTGCCGGTTGCAAATTAAATCCTAACTAATCCCGCATATACGGTCCACTTTTATCGAAATAAACCTAATTCCGCACCACCAGGATAACCGAAAAGAGGGCGCCCGAAGTCAGTGGGCACCAGCACTTGGCGATGCACATATAGTGTAACACGGCTTTTTTTTTAATATGCTTATCCAGTGCTGGACTGCTATGTCACCTGGTGGTAAATGGCGATGCAGCTGCAGATTTTAAACGCAGTAAAAGCCTGACTCTCGCCTTGAAGACACTCACGACTACACAACTGAGCCAAGCGTCAATGATGACGACGATTGATTGAATTGTTAATATTACACGATCATAATCGGATATCGCGGATCATATTGACCGCCACAGTGCACCATGGTGGCGTCCTCGGCCGCCATGCCTCCCCTGCCCCCACGCGTCCCCGGCCCCCGTGCCTCCCCGGCCCCCGTGCCTCCCCGGCCCCCATGCGTCCCCGGCCCCCATGCGTCCCCGGCCCCCGTGCCTCCCCTGCCCCCATGCGTCCCTGGCCCCCATGCGTCCCCGGCCCCCATGCGTCCCCGGCCCCCATGCGTCAGTGGCCCCCATCGCCCGCAGCACGCAGCTGCGCTTCTGCCGGCGCACGGCGGGCGGCGCGCTCGCGTCGACGCACCTCGTGTGCCCCGCGCCGAGCGGCGACAAGTACTGGGGCGCGCTCAAGTGGGGCCTGCCGGCGGTGCGCGCCTCGTGGCTGCTCGAGTGCGCCGAGCGCGGGCGCCGCGTCGCCGAGCGGGCGCACCTCGTCGGCGAGACCAAAGGTGGGTCGTCGCGTCGGCCTCTTTTATGTTAGCTGTGAAAAGTTTGTCAGCCAGTATTTTTTAAGGAGGAGGCAAACAAGCGTGCGGGTCACCTGACTTTTTTTAGATAAATTGCTCTTACTTTAGGATGACACCATCCTCTGTTTTAGGGACGCTTAACAGACATAAATTTCACGCGGACAAACTCCCAGATGCGAAACAACTACTGTCACAAAAATAGTTGTCCCGTATGGAAATCGAACCCATGACCCCTTACGCCGATGCCGATGCCTTGACAACTGCACCACGGAGTCATCAAAACCTGATGTGTGGTGTGTATTTTGTGTGAAAGGGGTTTATTTTTTTTTTGGTTTCCTGTCGAAAGTTATAGCCAATTTACGGCGATACCTTTTGAATGATCCCCGCAGAGTTTCTTTGTTACTTATAAGCTAGGTACATTTTCGCAATGGTAATTAGTTTAACACAGGCAAGGTGTTAGGTAGTACCGCGACGACCACTGTAGGATAATATTACCCTGTGCGGTGAGATTAATACTTAATTAAGAATTAATGTACATTAATTTCACGTGGACAAACACCCGAATCTGAAACAGTTATCTGTGGTTCACACAAATATTTGTCTCGTTGGGAATCGAAGCCACGGTCCCCGGTGCGGAAGCTAATACCTTAGCAACTCCGCCACGGAGTTATCAAGCGAGTGGTAAATAGTAGCCGCCACCAAGGTACACCTACATATCCAGACGGCAGACGGCCGATGGGTAACCAACTTTTAAAGTACACGCTAGACTATAAGAGCACAAAGTTTCTGGCCGGTTCTTCTCCTGGACAGGTCTAACTTTGTGGATCGGTGGTTACAGCTTAAAACATACCTATATTGAATAAACAAATAAGATTGGAAATGCCATTTTGTGCAACAGTAGAAGATGCCGCTCGGCTCTTCCGTAGTGAAAGCCTAGCCTCCTGTGTTCTTTGTATCCTTATACTGCATTATTAAGGCAAGAGGACGATGACGCCCCCTCAATACAGTTTTGGACAATATGTTTAGGAATCGTATTAGAGACTTGTTTGTTCCCCTGAACTAATAGTAGAGTCGTGCATTTTCGAAATGCCCTTTAAAATTGCAGCAGAGTATTGGATTTTGGTTGTCCCGAAGTGTATTGTCCTACCGATGTTTGCTATATCTTACATTTGATTTCTATAAGTGCGTCTGAATGCAGCTTTTCTCGACGCTCCCTAGTCGGCTCCTAGCGGCAATGCGTGTAATTTTAATTTTTAATTCGCGTTTAAAAGACATTCGCCTGCGTTTTATTTCACTTAAATCTTAGAACAAGTTAACTTTTCATTATTTAAGTTATCGTAATCGGCCTTTCTAGCCCCGCCGACTCCGCAGCAGTCGCCCCTCAAGGAGCCCGAGCTGACGGCGGCCCGGGATCGAACCTGCGACTCGACCGACAAGGAGAATGCCGCTCGGCTACCAGAGGACCCACCTGACCCCAAGCCTAACGGTAAGCGGAACTCTTCCAATTAGAACTGGTTGTTAATTACTGTGGCAGTGCCACGCAACAGTGTTCGCTGTTGCACGAATGGGCAGGTCCGTCCGGGTAAGTACCACGACCTCGCAGAAGACCGGCGTCAAGTGGAAGTGTTACACTTCTGCGTTTCGTTTGGTGAGTTAGGTAGCCGGGGCCCACTTTTTTAGAAGGTGACAACGCATCTGCAATCCTACAGGTGTTGCAAATGTCCATGGGCGGTGGTTATCGCTAAACATCAGGTGAACCGGCAGTTCGTTTGCCACTTTCCAAAATAAAAAAAGAGGCCTGTATATGTCCCACTGCTGGGCAAATGCCTCCTCCATACACAAGGTATAGAGTAAGAAGTAAGTGCTCCAAAAAAGATTATCTTAAATAAAATAAGTCCGACTTCGATTTATAAACCATTCCTTCTTTCTTCATTCGTTCTTACTACAAACCATACATTCATATCATGGCATTTCATTCGATATATGTTTGCGTTTTGATGAAATTTCCCTCCTTAAAAGCTGATGTATTTATGTTACCAGATGGCGATGACATGTCGCCAGCTTCGAGGTACATAGCGATGGCGCGTCAGGGCTTATTGGGCGGCGACTCCCAGGAAACGCCGAAGAGGCTGCAAGAGCTCAAGGGGGAGGCGAAACCCGGTACGAAATAGGCTTTTACGCCGTTTAACTTTATCGGGGTGCACATAGATAATTTGTATTTTTTGTTAGTTACTAAAGAACTCCTACAAAAAGACTAAAGAGATCTGTTAATACAATGACAAAACTATATCCAGACTTTGATAAATGTATTGTTTCCCTCGGATTCTTGAATTCTATCGATGTTATATTTTAAACATAATTAATATAGCAGCATTATCGCAGCAATATCGCAGCGGCCTCGGCTGTTGCACGAACGGGCGGGCCCGTCCGGGTAAGCACCGCGGCCTCACAGAAGGCCAGGCGTAAAGTGGGAGTATAACAAATATTTTAATTATTTACGTCTAGAATTTAATTGAAAAAAAAAAAAATGGACACACATAGAAAAGCCTCGCTGTGTACTGTGACCGGTTCCGTCTGCGTCCCTAGGCGCCGATGTGCGCACGCCGCCCCTGGAGGAGGCGCTGTCCTCGCCCAACCTGGCGGCGCTGAGCCCCACCACGAGGCGGCGGCTGCGCGCCGTGCGGCAGGGCGAGATGCCCTCCGACCCAGTGCGCACGCCCCTCGACCCCTGTCAGTGCAGCGCCTTCCGCCTAAGACCTAGAGCTCGGGCCCTAAGACCTAGAGCTCGGGCCCTAAGACACTGTGACCTAAGTGCTCGTGACCTAAGAGCTCGCGGCCTAAGATCTCGCGATGTTTGATATCGTGGTCTTTGACCTGGTGACGCTTCACTTTATATTTATCTTTAACCTTTTTGTTTTTGGCCATGTGATCTTTGATCTCGTGATGTTTGACTGCGCAATCTTTAAACTGCCGACTCTTATCCTATGCTATCCAACCATTATATCTCGTGGCCACCCACCTCAAGTCCATCTATATCGTAACCATCGGTTTTAAGGCTTCCTATCTCGCGATTTGGTTTCCGTACTATTTGTTATTTTATATTCGTACCAGGCAATAAATACCCACGGCATTATAGTTGACGACCTTGAATCGTTTGATAGATGGCTTGTGTTTAAAACAAAATAAAATATATTGTTACAGCAACTTCTATTGTAACTAATCACGATTATCTTCTCTATTGTATACGTATCTTTTTATAGTAAGCCGAAAAGTTAAAACTGCTGAATAGTTTAGTAACAAAAGTAAAAAAAAATAAAAAAATAAATAAAAAAGAGATCTAAAAATGTTGGTTGGCTTACAGTTCTTGTCACCGAAGACATAAAATTTTTTTTTCGGCCTTTGCATAGTCCGTGTATATATGTAGTCATAATATGCTTCGCGTTCCAGTCGAAGGGGGCGCGGAGACGCCGGAGAGCGGGTTCGGGGCGGCGCTGCGGCCGGGCGGCGGGCGCCTCTCGCCCGGCTCGCGCAAGCGCCTCTGGCGGCTGGTCAGCGAGCTGCCCCAGCGCTCGCCGCGCCCGGACCGGCCCCACCACACGGTCGGCCCACCCTCCCCGCACCCTACTAATACACTCCGGGCCCCGTTAATACTCCCCACACACTTTGGGCCCCTCCAAACCCTGTTAATACTCTCCAAATACTGGGCCCCCCCCCCCCCCGCAAACTCTGTTAATACACCCCCGACCGTGTAAAGACTGCTCAAACCCTGTTAATGCTCCCCAAACCCTGTTAATACTCTCCAAACACTGGGGCCCCCACAGCCAAAGTCAAAATTTCTTTATTCAACATAAGCTTATTTTAAGCTCTTATTGAACGTCAAAAACTACCACCGGTTCACTAAACTAGACCTGCAAGAGAAGAACCGGCAAGAAACTGCGGTCATATATGTATATATATTTTTTTTTAAGTATACACTAACCTAACTATTTAAGTATACACTAACTACCCCCAAACTCTGTTAATACACTCCCGACCGTGTGAAGACTGCTCATATCCTGTTAATGCTCCCCAAACCCTGTTAATACTCTCCAAACCTGTTGGTACACCTCAAACTTTAATTCATAACATAATCATTAAACAGCCGGAGCGGCACCAGCACACGGTCGGTCACTGCCCAATACTGTTAGATGCACCACAGACCCCGCCAATACACCCGGAACCCTTTTTAATACACCACAAACCCTCTTAAAACTTCCCAAACCCTCCTCTCAAAAAAAAAAAAAAAAACAAGAAAAACGCAACCATCTCCTAAAAAGTACCCCTAACGTATACCTTGAAGTTTTGTACGTTAACAGAAATATTACCCGTTGCTGTCGACAGGATTACTTTCATAATAAACCTCCCCGTGTTCTTACCGGTCTAAACTGAGCATTACGTGCGTGACATAATATCAGGTTCATAGAAATCTTTTCATACCTCACTACATTTTAAGTAATTAATTTCAAATATTCTAATTTCGAACCGCAGCCCCTGTCGGAGATCCGCAACCGCTTCCTGGCGCAGTTCAACTCGGGCGCCCCGACGCCGCCCAACCCGCCGGAGCATTCTGTGGCGCCGAGGAAGCTCCACATGCAGGTGCTTCTCACTCCTTTCTATATCTCTCAATCTATCTCTCTCATCTCACACTCGCCTAACTCTTACTCCCGACTCTCATTCGCCTCTCTCTCTCTCTTTCTCGCCTGTCTTTCTCACTGCCCTTCTGTTCAATCCTCTCACTCTATCACTAGTCTCAGTCTCTCTCTTCTCTCACTCTATATGTCCTCTCACTCTCGCCCTAACTGCGCTTTGAAGCCAATCATGAGGGTCGATTAGCATCGAGAAAAAATGTTTATGTCATACTAGGGCTCACTTCATTACCTAACCATGATACTTGCAAAATATAAATGAATTTCTATCAAGTCAATGCGCAGATTGCTGAGAGCTGCCTCAGAGGGGCTACAGTCCGATAAAGGAGAGCAGAAGATACTTTCCTCTCGCTCGCTCAGCGGTTAAAATAGCTTCATCACACATTGTTGTATAGTTGCAGACTTCGTTTTTATTTGGTGGTGTGAACATATTCTATTATTTTTCTCGAACCAGTCAGTATACAGCGTGTCGTTACCATCGCGACAATAAATTAACACACGTCTAACGCTACTTGCCAATAATCATAAAAAATATTAACGTTAAACAAAATCCATAATTAAAAAAAATTTTTTTTTCAAACAAACTAATTAAGTAAAAAAGAAACAAAATTTGTAACATCCTATACAACTACAACTGACTGATTCATACATTCAGAGACTTTTTCATTCATTGCCAAAGCCTCGCATTACAAGCCTCTCCTTCTAACAGTATTTTTTGTCTCTTTTAAATTCATTCAACCCATTCATATGCTTTGTGACCTTTACAAATGAACTTTAAGTTACAGTTTTATATGTAAGGGTGTTCTAAAATTCTTTGTTTTGGAAAATTTAATAACTCTGTAAATATTGATGTTTAAAGAATGTAAATGTTTAATACAATTTTAAAAAGTTATAGTCTATATGTGTGTTCATTTATTGTCGCGATTGTAAAGACACGCTGTATATCCATGTGCTTCTTATTTAAATTGCGAAGCCGACTCATGTCTATTAAAGTTTTGCATTTATAGTTAAGATGGTAATGAAAAGTAGCAAAAAATTTCGAATCTTATTCCATATTTTATGAGAAATGCACTAATTTCATATATGAATTATTTGTTTATCGTTATCTTAAGGCAAAAAAATCGCTGGTATTTTGTCTCTCAGAAATGGATAATGAAACATTTGTATTAGGATTTATGAAGAATGCTTTTCTAACGCAATCTCAATCAATGTTTGATCATATCATAATAGTTGTGTTCATTTGTTTGTCTTTTCAGGATCAAGTTGAAACTCCTCCGGCGAAAATTTCAAAGCTGTCCGTCGAGCAGGTTTGTATACTTTTTTATAGATAAACAATCATGATAATAATAAGTAACGAACAATTATATACTATGTACTTGCCACAACTTGTGAGACTACATTCCAAGCTTATCGAGTTAGCACCCATCCTATTCATAGTTCCAAACACTATGCTGCCGTTTTGATTTATCCTTGTCCATATTACTGATGACTGGCTCATGATTCTTTGGGATGCACAGAGTGTGGTGTAATATGGAGAAGGATAGTGAAGCAGAACAGTACTTAGCAGCTTCTGTTAAACAACTAATGGACAGGCTTCTCTGGGAAGTATCATTGGCTCACAGTATTCTGGCATTAATTCTACAAATATGGGCAACACAGTGTTATGTCCCGGTAAACCCCCTGCTCGCTTGTTGCCCTGTTCAAATAATAAAGCTTTTTCTTTCTTAATTTCAATGCTATTAATTAAATATGCTCGATCTACCGGAGTTCAAATCCTGGTGCCGGCAATAATAAAATTGTTAACTTGTGTCTTGACTTCTTCACTTGTTACATGCTTAGCGGTGAAGGAACACATCGTGAACACCTGCGTATTTTGGAAAGGATAAATATTTTTTTTTTCGAAAATATGTGATATAATAAGTCCGCCAATTCGCAGTGGGTTCACCAGTGGTAGACACCGGACTATACCCTAATGCCCTCCACAGAGGAGGCCCTTGCACAGCTGTGGGATACATTTATCCATATACTATATTATTATACTTTTACTTTACTTGACAGAGAATGCCGCAAGCACTTAATCAGCCTTTGCAATATCTAAACATGTTCGTTTCCATTGAAGTATGATAAAAAAGACTGAAAAAGATAATTATACCGTTTTGCATCACTCAGAGCGTTGGCAGCGAGGCGTCGATAGCGGAATCGGACCCGGGCAGCGGTTCCAGCGCTGCGGCCGGAGCGCTGCCCGCCGCCGTGGACGCGCAGCTGCAGCGCTTGAGCGCGGCGCTCACCGGCCGCCTCTCGTCGCAGAGGGCGAAGCGGCCGAGGGACTCCGTCAGTCTCGCGCCTGGTGTGTAGCCGCGAATGTCGAGGAAGTTCACCATTTCGACGCTAGATGGCAGTGTAATGTAGCGCTGCGCTCGGTGTGTAGAGGAGACCGTCGTGGTAGTTCACTATTTCGACGCTAGATGGCAGTGTAATGTAGCGCTGCGCTCGGTGTGTAGAGGAGACCGTCGTGGTAGTTCACCATTTCGGCGCTAGATTTTTTTTATTTTTAAGTTACCAAGCGAGCAGGCGTTTCACCTGATGTTAAGTGAATACCACCGTCCATTGACATCTGCTACACCCGAGGGTTGCAGATGCGTTGACAACCTTTTGAAGATTGGGCTCCGGCCACCTCACCCACCAGACGAAATGCGAAAGTATTATACTTCCACTTTACGGCGGTCTTCAGTGAGATCGTGGTACTTACCCGGACGGGCCTGCCCATTCGTGCAACAGCCGAGGCCGCTGCGTGGCCCTACCACCGTTAATGGCATTGCGCGCGGTGCGTAGTCGCGATCGTCCTATGTTCACTACATTTTAAAGCTTTTGTTACCCGATGTTAAGTAATTACCGCCTCCCAAAAAAAAAAAAAATGCGTTGCCAACTTTCAATAAAATGGCCCCCAGGTACCTAACTCACCAGACGAACGCAGTAGTATAACACCTCTGCGTGGTCGCGGTTTTGTTGATCTGAGAGTACGTCTGTATGTCGGGTGATGATATAAAGGCAATATACACTATTCAAAATATTTATTGTTCACACGCGTATGCTACAACAACAGAAAGTCGGCCATAAATAGATATTAAAAAGGCTAATTAAGGGTTTTAATTATTATTTTTTGGGGGGATTCCACACTGCCTATTCAGCAGTGGACTCAAACAGGCTGAAATGATTATGATGATGACATACTTATTAGTTTAAACAATTTTTATTTTATTATTTTAAACTATTTTGTCGCAACAGCGGTACTTCGCTATACGGAGCCGCCTACAGCTGCGTGGGCCTACCACTAATTGAAATCAAAAATATAAGGATCCGCATGTTTAATTAAATCTTTAAATGATAGACATAAATCGTAACCGATAGATAAAATACATAGTTTTTATGATTAATTTATACAAGTTTCTTTAATATATCTAATTGTTTTCTGAAGATTATTTTCATTGATTGGTTGGCATATTTCACTCGCGGCCAATATGACGAGGTGGCCGAGAGGTTAAGGCGTTGGACTGCTAATCCAATGTGCTCTGCACGCGTGGGTTCGAATCCCATCCTCGTCGAATGTCTTTTTGTATATTTCTTCAGAACTTATCAACATACGTTCAATCTCTTACATTTGCCTTAATTTGAAAATGAAAGATTAATTGTAGTATTTAAGGATAATTTATTTAAAGAATATTTTTAGAGTAAGCTTACTAAAATTCTTGTTTTGTTTAATGTTTTGTTTACGATATGTTAGAAATTTGCTTGTGATAATTTAATTGAATTAGCAAGTTATGAACTGTTGAATATTCGACTTGACTAAGATTTTCTTGTAGTGTTCTCACTATAGTGTCTATAGTTCTGATTGTTTTCAGAAAAAGGTATTATTTATTAAGAAAATATAAATTGACTGCTAGATAAAAATTCCTGAGATATTGTTGTCACACATAACATTTTATCATTAATAGTTTATAAAGTAACGCCTTTGTTTAAAATTGAACTTTTAATAAATGCTTGCATTTTCCTGTACAGTATTTGGCCGGAAATTAATAATAATATTTAAAGCATGCACATAAAACTGAATAGGCCGAATGCCTAGATCTCGTGGGTGCTGGCTCCGGCGCCGTGGGTCGTCGCTTCGACTCCCACACGACACAACTATTCGTGTGGTCCACGGCCAATTGTTTCGGATTCGGGTGTTTGCCCGTGAAATTTATGTTTGCGAAACGTCTTCACGACACAGATAATGTTATCCCGCACTAAGGAGCAATGATTTCGAAGGGAAGACCCACAAAACATTGTATGGTATGGTGTTAGAGGTAAAATGAAACTATTGAAGGCCCGAATAGTACTGTCTCCTTGTATCTTGTACTAACTGATGTTTTTGCTTTCAGCCCCGAGACTATTGAAGCGTCATCTGACGCACAACTGGCCAGAACCCACGGGTTTGGGTTACTGTCTTATATTTTGTGACAACAAGCAATATAAATGATTACAATTAATAGAGTGGCATAAATTAGAGAGTAATAATAATCGTTTGAACATACATCACAACATCTTGTTGCTGTGGTCGTTCAGTACCCAACCCGTGCCACGCAAAATGCAACACAAGAACCCTCGCCTACAGCGTTGCCCGCGGAAATCGAACCCGGGCCCCTCTCGCAGCCCAACACCGTGGGCTGGGACGACTCCGCCGCGCCGCAGCAGCCCGCCCAGCAGCTCGGCACCGACCAGGTCAAGAGGTTCATGCTCTCCTCAAACGTCGACGTGAGTTGTGTTTTCATTCCTTGTCCAAATGCCGACTTTAAAGGCTTACGTTAAGCTCTTAAAGTCACAAAGCTTCCACCGGCTCACTAAATCAGACCTGACCACCGATGACATCACGAAGTGAAAATGTCGCCATCTATTTACGTTCTCTTCAATGCATTTCTATCAATCCTTGGCGCGGTCCTTCACGGCATGCGGCATCTTATAAAGAACATTCGAAAAAGTTATTGTTTGCGATGGAAACAATGGCTGCTGATCAATATACGTTTTTTTTTTTTTTATATATGTAGAACAAGTCGGTATTTTCACTTGACTGTTCCATCTTTTACGTGGGTTAAACGGGCGACGGATAAGATTGATGAAATGACGAAATACGTTTTAAATCGACAAGACACTTCTTTAATGATTCGATAATTAACAATCACTAATAAGAATTATTCACTGATCACACACATTGTTTTCTTAAATGACGTTCCACCGGAACACGTGGGGCGCGTGCGCAACGTCTTTGCTTCACAACCGCTCAATGATGACTGACCCACGAGAAAATGGCCGCCTCCCCAGTGCTCGGTGTTACGTCAACTGTCAACGGTTGACAGCTAGGGTTTAAAAGAATGAACGAATGAATGATGAACGAATATAGACTATTGTGTTTCATGATTTCATAGACGCGCCGTCATATAAATTCAAGTGTTTTTGATACGAATCCACTACTTGAGAATCTTATAAAGAACATTTGTAACGAAAATGTCGCCTTTGCTCTTATATTGAACTAAATGAAATCAATCCTAAAAAATGTTAAACGAACATTAATTAAAGTCGTAATAGTTTTGACTTTTCCTTCGTGACTCGATGAATAGCCTTACGTAGCGTGACAGTTAAATGAAATCAATCCTAAAAATACAGTCGTTTATTAATGCCTAAACAGTTTTGACTTTTCCTTCGTGACTCGATAAATGCCTTCAGAACCGCGAGGAGCTGGCTTCGATGATCGTGCATTTGGGCGGCGTGGTGTGTGAGGGCGCTGAGCTGGACCCGAGCGCTACGCACCTCCTCTGCTCGGCGCCCGGTCGTAGCGAGAAGATGCTCGGATCCGTAGCGGCCGGCCGCTGGGTGCTACACCCCGCCTACATCACGCGTAGCCGCGCAGCCGGCCACTTCCTCGAGGTGAGACGCCCCGTTTGAGTTTCTTGTGGGGGCTGCGTAGCATGTTCCAACGACTACAGCTTGGTGCTACGTCACACCTACGTAGAGCGTAGCAGCGCTGCCGGCCGCTTCCTCCGTTACGTAGCAAGTCTGAACGACTATTGTGACCTAGATCTATTGTTACCTTCGAAAACATTGCTCCCTTACTGTAGGAACATTATCCTGTGTTGTAAGGACTTGTGCAACAACTAACTGTGGGTCACACAAGTAGTTGTCACGTGTGGGTATCGAACTGTAGGGATGGCGCTCTGTAGGGTCTTTCTAAAAAAAAAACACTTTTATTGGGCAGTAAAGAATACTTTGATAGTGCTACACAACTATGGAGAAGAACAGACAGGTGGGTGGGTTACAGAAGAGTGTTAATCGGACCGAGTATGGAGGTTGACTGCCTTTACTTATATAACAAAACTGTTTTTAGGGTTCTGTACCCGGGTAAAACGGGACCCTATTACTAAGACTTCGCTGTCTGTCTGTATGTCCGTCTGTCAACAGACTGTACCTCATGAACAGTGATAGTTAAACAGTTGAAATTTTCACTGATGATGTATTTCTGTTGCTGCTATAACAACAAATATTACAGCTACAACAAATACTCTTTTTAGGGCTAAGCGCGCCTTTGCACATTTTTTAATAACTTTGGTTTCACTTATGTGTACAATAACGAGTAGAATAAAGAAATACTAAAAAACAGGATGAAAAAAAAAACATTTAAGTGCTACTCCAAAACAACAGACACAATGGCACGGAACCGTACGTGCGCGAGTCCAACTGGCACTTGCGACGGTGTTTGTATAAAGCGAGAGTTGCGCCCGGCAGGAGGAGGAGTTCGAGTGGGGCAACGGGCGCGCGACAGGGATGCCGCCGCTCGGGCCCGCAGAGGCGCAGCTCGCGCGCGCCGCGCACCGCTGGCGGGCCGCGCGCGCGCGAGCCCTGCCCGGGCCGTTCGCCGGCCTGGTGGCGCTGCTGCACGTGCCGGCCGCAAGGCGCCGCCTGCTCGAGCGGCTCGTCGAGGCGGGCGGCGGCCGCGCGCCCGACGACCGGTGAGGAGCGGACGCGACGAGAAGTGCGGCGGCGAGAAGTGTCACGACGAGAAGTCGCGCTTCTTGTCGTGGGCCGCAAGAAGTAACTTCAAGTCGTCGTTCCACCTATTCTTTTACGTCGCGAGAAGTTACATGTCGGGAAGTGTAACTCCAAGAAGCTACTCTTCTTAGAGCATCTTTTCTCACGAAGCAGTGCGATAAGATACACTTCGCTGCAAATGACAGTACTTTACTATGAGAATTCCTTGTCTGATGCTCCTGCTTGTAGCTTGACATTCATACAGTTTGTTTTTGCAGTGGTTTGCAGATTCTCTTTTCTCTTTTTTGTACTAAAATAAATCCGCCGTTTGTATTTCGTGTTTCGCTCAATGTTTAATGTTATCCACCTTTAAAAGTTTGACTAATTTTAAGGTTTGAGTTTAGTATATTTCACTTAATTCGGGAAGAGGTGGATGTTTACATCGTCAAACTGTAGCATGTATCAATTTGTAAATTTCTGTAGATAAATGAGCAAAAACTCTCGGATTCGACCATGTCTCGTTGTATCGCGCCCAGACGCTTTACCGCAGAAGCTAAACGGCCGATGACCACACGGCGCGATAGTCTCGCATGCTCGGCGATTTGTATTTTTTGTTTTTTTATTATCTTTATTTATATGGCATTTAAAAGACATTTATTCCGTCACCTTAAAATAGTTGTACAGGACTTAATCAATAAAATTTACAAAAAATAAAAACACAAAAAAAAATGTTTACATAAAGAGAAAAAATATTACAAAAAAGAAAAAAAAATGGGTAGCAAAGTATTGTAATAATATTAACAAATTATTTTATGGGGTTTTTATCTAAAATTTGTATCGACGCCCCGACCTCCGCAGGCCCCCGTACAGCAACGAGGCGGTGACGGTGTGCTTCGCGGACGTGAAGCGGCAGCCCCTCGCCGAGCGGGACGCCGCTTGGCTGCGCGCCCGTCGCGTCCCCGTCTGCGCGCCCGTGCTGCTCAGCGCCTACCTGACGGACGACGCGCCGCCCGACCCGACGCAGCACTGCCTGCCCGAGTTTCGACCTAAATAGCGCGTGATAAGGCTCAAATTATAACTGAAACGATCGATCCACACTGGTTATGACATTGCCCGCCCGAGTTTCGACCTAAATAGCGTGCGATACGGCTCAAATTAGAACTGAAACGTTCGATCCTCACTGGTTATGACATTGCCCGCCCGAGTTTCGACCTAAGTAGCGCGCGATACGGCTCAAATTAGAACTGAAACGATCGATCCACACTGGTTATAACACTGCCCGCCCGAGTTTCGACCTAAATAGCGCGCGATACGGCTCAAATTAGAACTGAAACGTTCGATCCTCACTGGTTATGACATTGCCCGCCCGAGTTTCGACCTAAGTAGCGCGCGATACGGCTCAAATTAGAACTGAAACGATCGATCCACACTGGTTATAACACTGCCCGCCCGAGTTTCGACCTAAATAGCGCGCGATACGGCTCAAATTAGAACTGAAACGTTCGATCCTCACTGGTTATGACATTGCCCGCCCGAGTTTCGACCTAAGTAGCGCGCGATACGGCTCAAATTAGAACTGAAACGATCGATCCACACTGGTTATAACACTGCCCGCCCGAGTTTCGACCTAAATAGCGCGCGATACGGCTCAAATTAGAACTGAAACGTTCGATCCTCACTGGTTATGACATTGCCCGCCCGAGTTTCGACCTAAGTAGCGCGCGATACGGCTCAAATTAGAACTGAAACGATCGATCCTCACTGGTTATGACATTGCCCGCCCGAGTTTCGACCTAAGTAGCGCGCGATACGGCTCAAATTAGAACTGAAACGATCGATCCTCACTGGTTATGACATTGCCCGCCTGAGTTTCGACCTAAATAGCGCGCGATACGGCTCAAATTAGAACTGAAACGTTCGATCCTCACTGGTTATGACATTGCCCGCCCGAGTTTCGACCTAAATAGCGCGCGATACGGCTCAAATTAGAACTGAAACGTTCGATCCTCACTGGTTATGCCATTGCCCGCCCGAGTTTCGACCTAAATAGCGCGCGATACGGCTCAAATTAGAACTGAAACGATCGATCCTCACTGGTTATGACATTGCCCGCCCGAGTTTCGGCCTAAATAGCGCGCGATACGGCTCAAATTGCGTGCTCGTACTCCTATCGCGATATATATCGCAATTACGTTAAGTTACGGTGTAATCCATTCTTACTAGTTACAACACAGCTCAAAATCTAAAAGGCTTAACATAAACGTGTATTAGAGTTAGCGTTGCTTTTTGTGTCACAGAAGACTATTATTGTATTGTATTTTGCGTTTCGTGTGCTGTTAACAAAACAGCCGCGTACTCCTTAACCCACTTATGAAAGTAATGTATAAAACTGCTTAAAATTTATACCATTATGCCTTAATACGATACTATCATAGCGGTCAATGTGCACAGTGTCATTTATTATATCGACTCTATATCTTATTTTACCTCTATGTTTTTGGAGTATTATAATACTAAAGTTAATTTTACTTAAAACACATAGGAATAATTGGTGTTGTATCAAAAATGACACCAAATGTATTAATTAATGATTATGTAGATAATATTCAATTTTGCTAAAATATAGCGATGGTACGGGTGTGTAGTCCTGCCTCTAAAAAAAAAAAAAAAAAAAAAACTAACAGTGGCACAAGAAGTCATATGGGATCAATAATCGCAGAATGGAAGATAATTCCCGGATATTGAGTTCAGATTTTTAAGATAGGAAGAGGAGGGGGGGGGGGGGTCATAGCTGATATTTGTTTCGATTACACACCTAAGACGAATATTACACTTTTCAAGGCGACTGCGATTTTAACATGTATATATTTTATTGTGAAATGTTAGCTTTAAATAAAGTAATGTTCGATTTTGTCGTGTACTTTCATTCTCCTTTTTATTTCATCTCTATATAAGACTTACATTTAACGGTGGTAGAGCCGCGCAGCAGCCTCGGCTGTTGCACGAATGGGCAGGCTCGTCCGGGTAAGTACCACGACCTCACAGAAGACCGGCGTAAAGTGGAAGTATGACAAATACTTTCGCGTTTCGTCTGGTGAGTGAGGTAGCCGGAGCCCAATTTCCAAAAAGGTTGTCAACGCATCTGCAAACCCTGGGGTGTAGCAGATGTTCACGGGCGGCGGCATTCACTTACCATCAGGTGAACCGTCAGCTCGTTTGGCAACTTTTCACATCAAATAAAAATAAAAATACTTACATATTATACTTTGACGTGGCATTCTGCAGTTATAGATCGGTGTCGGATTTCAGTGTACACAGATTTTTCCGTATTTCGGTAAATGTACAGTAAATAACTGCTGCATATTTGTACCCGATAAGATTTTTCTTTCATCTTGAGGAGTTCCCTGGTGTATCTGCAAAGGCCAAGGTCAAATGTCAATTAAATTGACATTTAAAACGGGTTCATAAATGACAGAGTTCTCAGGCAGCGAACAAAAACGTATTAGCGAAATGAGAACCTCCTTTTTTGATGTCGGGTGAAAAATTTATTAAACGAATGAAATTTACCACATTATTAAGAGGTGGCAACGCATCTGCAAGCCTACGGGTGTTGCAACTGTTCATGGGCGGCGGTTATCATTTAACATCGGCTGAACCGCCAGCTCATTTGCCACTTCCTCACATGAAAAAAATATATGCCTCTTTTTAGGATTCCGTACTTCAAAATGTAAGAAAAGAAACCCTTATAACTTCACTTTCTTTTCCGTCTGTCTGTCCGTATGTTACCACCTATTTTCTCAGGAACGGGTGGAGCTGAGATTTATACCGGATACTGAGGTCTATAGTCCCGTATTAGCTGTATAAATCAAGGTCCTGAGGTAACACGATAAAAAATTAAACCATCCTATTGCATAAACCTATAGTTTCAATGATAAAAATTCCTGAATAACCTACATGTATTTTAAAGATAATAAAATATTTTGAACGATATTAACTTCTCATTTATTCAATAAAAGAAATAATAACCTGTAGCACTGGAGGACTGCCGCGGTAAAGCTATTGCATAGCATCTTTTATCAACTTATGCAATTATAATTACTTATTTATGCAGTTTTTTTTCTTTGATGTTTATATTTATAAGTAATAATATTTTTAACAATATAATTGTTAATATACAATATAATTATGCAGCGTGTCGTTACCATCGCGACAATAAATGAACACACGTTTAACGCTACTTGCCAATAATCATAAAAAAATATTAACGTTAAACAAAATCCATAATTTAAAAAAAATATTTTTCGAACAAACTAATTAAGTAAAAAAGAAACAAAATTTGTAACATCCTATACAACTCGCGCCACAACGTCGTATTACAAGCCTCTCCTTCTAAGAGTATGTTTTGTCTTTTTTAAATTCATTCAACCCATTCATGTGCTTTGTGACCTTTACAAATGAAGTTTACGTTACGCTTTTATAGGTAAGGGTGTTCTAAAATTCTTTGTTTTGGAAAATTTTGTAAATCTGTAAATATTGATGTTTAAAGAATTTAAATGTTTAATACAACTTTAAAAAGTTATCCCTATATGTGTGTTCATTTATTGTCGCGATGGTAACGACACGCTGTATATGATTTATATATATTATTAACAAAAATGATAAGAACTACTAAGTCACTACGCTGTTTGGATAGTTAAATTACAATATACTAACATTTTTAAATTTGTGATATCTTTCGAATGGAATGTCCGAATTTAATAATTCATAAAGTTATATAAAGATGTTCAATCAGTTTTAAATATGAAGTTATTTATTTTTATAAGGATTAATACCAAGATACAAATAAAGAGCCGGCATTTCAATAAAAATTTTAAAATAAAAGAACACTTATTGTGGCATAACATATGCTGTTCAGACACTTTTTGTAAATAATTATGTGTTCTGCAAATTCGTAGTACATTATTTTATTCTATCATCAATAGTTTTAAAGCGCACGTGAAGTAGAAATATTTTAGGTAATTTTTGTACACTTAGGGTTACGTGATTGAAGTATTAGTAAGGATCCCTATTTTTTTTTGATAATATTATATATAGCCTATATCAACCGGGGATAATGTAGCTTCCCAACAGTGAAAGAATTTTTCAAATCGGTTCAGTAGTTTCGGAGCCTCTTCAATACATACAAACAATCAAATCTTTCCTCTTTATAATATAATAATATAGTATAGATGAACTAGATAATGGTACGGAATCCTTCGTGCGCGAGTCTGACATTTGGCCGGTTTTTTTTTAAATAAGAGAAGTTTAAAAACGTTTATGACAGACGGAAGTAAAAATACTATCATTATATAATGTGTATAAAATCAAAAAATATCAATAATATTTTACCGTAATGTAAAAAACATGAAAAATAAATGTTGGGATCATTTCAGGCGTGAGTATTGGGATAGCAAAGCAACCCACGAGATGATTTTAAAAACATTCAATATCGAAATTGGGGTAAAGCTATATTCATTACAATTTGAAATTGGGGTTAAATGTTTATCTGTGTTTCTTCGAGCGTTATGATAATTGTGTACAAACGTTTATTAAAACGTAACAGTAGAAACATAAATAAACAATCGTCAAGCCTACGTTATCTGTTGAATTAATTGTACAAATACTCGTAAAGAGCACTTGAGTCGCTCAAGTCCTTGTGATGAATTAGCGTGCAATTATAATTAATGCCACAGCTTATCCTGATGCCCTGTTTTAATTTATTACTGTTCTAATATGTACCTTTATGGGTGAGGGATTACGAAAACATTTTTTCGTGTAAAAATAAACCGTCTCCACAGAAGAAAAATAATAAAACGCAGACAATTTCAAACAACGAGACTTTATTGATAATAAATTCACAACGTCAACAAATAAATAACTCTTATAATAGGTACATTTGATTTGCGGTAAATTAACGACTTTTTGCGTAAAGTTGGATTTTATGTGGTACCTACTTACACAGATAAAAGAAATATAAAATAAGCATGAAACTTGTAAAGATATTAATAAAACTTTAACATCGAAACAATATCTTTTCTTAATTTCAAATACGAAAGCGGATGTATGACAATTATACAATTCTAAAGATACGTCCACGAAATATTTGTTATTTCACATTAACTATAAACAAAACACAATAATAAATTCCCTGTTTGTTAAATATTCTTCTTCTTCTTCTTTTATTTTTTGGCGGTTTTCAATGAATACGCCAATGAAATAATGTTTGTTAAATATACCATGATACGCGGGACATTGACATTAATAAACTAAAGTGATGTTACGAAATAAAGTACCACATATATAAAACGGAACATAAAAATATAAAAAACGGAACTTCATTATACGAGATCCATATTTGTACGTCAATGTCAATGTTCCGCGTAGGGATACGCGTAACCTAATCTATATTTAACAGACTGTAGGCGAAGGTTTCCATTCATATTTTTCGACCTCAATCGAATCTCTTGACCATAAGTTTAATGACCCTCTGATCGTCTTTCGGGTAATCGAGACCCGACGCGGCCATTTCGCTGAGCGACGCCTCCGCTATCGTCGTGAAACCGCACTTGGCCGCTAGCTTCTGAGACGATATGCCGGTGAACACTGTGGTCGTTGCTTTGACACCCAAACGTTTACTCAAAGGCTGCCTGCGGAGAGAAAAATCTTGTTAGTTTTATCAAACCTTTGTGTTAATTAACTTATCCTACCTATATATAAATAAATAAGTATAATATATTTTGACTGTCGTCTCCCCCTACGTACGCACAGGCACCAATTGGCGGAGGGTAGTAGTATCCTAGTCAGCACTACTGCACTAGTGCATCTCCGACCACAGAGGTGTGAAGACGTGCGCAAGCCAACGAGCCGATATTTATTTTGACAAATTAGTCGAAGTGTTTTATTATTGATCGGTTATTAGTTCCCAGCACAACACAACAACACTATTCTTTCCCTATTTTTACTGTGGTAGGTCCACGCAACGGTCTTCGCTGTATGAATGGCCAGGTCCGCCCTTGTCAGTACCACGACCTCATATAATACCGGGAAGTTAAAGCGTTATACTTCTGCGTTTCGTCTACTGAGTGAGATAACCGGGGTCCGATTTATTAAAAGGTGACATTGCATCTGTAAGCCTACGGGTATGTCAATGGGCGGTGGTTATCGCCGGTTATCACTTACTTTGAGTCGTGATATCTCATTGTCCGGGTGCTTTTAATCGAGCAACCAGAATTCCCCGGTCCCCTCACCAATGAAATTGTTACTTTTTGGTGCTGACTTATCACGTGCTCAGCGGTGAAGGAAAACATCGAGACGAAATTTTTATATTTCCGAAATAATAAAAAAAAATTCGAAGTTAGTGAAGTCTGTCAATCCGCAGTGAGGTCGGGTGGTGGACTATGATATCAAAAGATCAAGACAAGGTCATCTCTCAGCAAAATGCTGCATTAAAACTACGACCCGACATTGAAAATTTTAAGTAACTAATCCCAATATTTAAAAAAAAGTTAATGAAAGTTCGAAATCGATATTCTTAGGGATATCTCGGATTACGCGAGGAAAGCACAGATAAAAGTCGACTTTATAAAAATTACTACATTTTTATCCACATAAACTAGTTTTCTCACAGAAATTATACAAATATTACATTATATTAATCAAATAATACAATTATCATCATCTATTTGAAAAAAAAAAAAACATTTTCAGCCCATTGCGCGTCGTTTATTCGCATTGTCGTTTAAGAGTCACAAACATAATTATACCATTAGATCATCTCATTCTCAGGGATTAATTTATATTATCACTAGAGAACGTTGTGTAAAAATGTGTCTGCAAATATTTATTTATTTATTTATCTCGCAAATCTTTCGAGGTTATTCACACTTGCCTGGCGTTCAGCAAACGTGCCCCCAGTCTTGCGCCTCTGTACTCTCTCTTCACCACCAGCCCGTAGGCGCACAGCAACACATCAAGACCCAAGTATTCGAATGGATCCCTCTTAGTCTCCACGAATTCGAGGCCGTGATAAACGTTCTGCCACTCCTTCCCCTCTATCTGGAGATAACGAAGTGACCTTTTAAATGAAGGCACTACATCTTGATACACTTGCAGAAATTTATTCTAGAATAACTAATAAATCATTGACTATTCGGCTTATCCTACTTGCGGTTTCTATTGGTTGTATCTATACGCATGTGTATTTAAATACATATCTAATTTATATATACGGGGCGACTTTTTTATAGGTTCCCAAATTCACACAGGAGGTCCGACTCGGTAGTATAAACGTTTATCAAAATAAAAACAAACTTTTTTTTTCAAAAAAATTGCCATTCTATTCCCTAAAAAACAGAACTTGTTGACAATGCGGAAGTCATTCATAAATGCGTCGTATACTTTTGAAACGAACTTGTGTGCGTGTTAGTTATGAATGATCGCGCGTAAAATAAATGAGCTAGTAGGAATATTATAAAAAAAGAATTAGTGAAATCGGTTCAGCTGTTCTTGAGATTTGCGCTTAGCAACACATTCAGCGATCCATTTTTATATATAGAGATTTGTTTTGCGTATAAATAGTTTTTGAGTTCTTTTTTATTCTTTGCTTAGCACCTGCCATCTACTATGACATGAAACAAAATAAAAAGATAAAGCTTTGTTTTGACAGAATTAGTAGGTAGAGTTAGACGATAGTTAAACGTCGTATATTATTTGGCTCCATTAAGTCTAGACGTATATTATTTGGCTACATTAAAGATAATTATAAGTTATATATGAGTGTGTTTTTGTGCGAATTTGGTAAGCGAGCGGGCGGTTTACTTGATGTTAAATAATTCCTGCTGCAAATGGACATCCACAACACTTCGAGTGGCAGAAGCGTTACCAACTTAAAGAAATCGAGCCACGGTTACTTTATTTACGAGATGAAACGGATCGTAAATGCACACAAAAAAATTATACTTCCACATCACGCCGTTTTACCATTGCGATGGTACATTCTCGGATGACGCTGACTTACGTGTGTTACTAAGTTACACACAGCAATTTCGGCTTTACAACAGAATTGGGAAAACCGATATTTGACATGATAGCTCCTTTTGATGTGCCGACCAGCTCGGCCGGGCAAGTATCATGGTATCAGCATGAAGTAAAAGCATTTATGGTTTACTGTCAATTTGCACAATCCTATCACAATTAATAATGGGGTAATAAAAATCGTAATGAACAAACTTTGTTATAAATTTACATAAAAGTCCATGCTTGAAAGCAAATAAAACGATCGTCATTATTTTTTATTTCAAAACTATAGACAAATATTAATCAATCCTACATTTATTGATATTTGAACGCTCTGTGAAATTCATACATGAATTATTATTCGCAAGCAAATTTAGCTCTCGACTGTTGTGTTTGTTTAACGAAATCGTTTGTAACATGAGGTTAAATTTATCAAAAAAAAAAAAAAAAAAGAAACACATTATTTTTTTAATTACGAACGACGTTTATGATCTCAATGCTTTTCTCTTTGCCCCCACATAATAAAACGATGTCTGGGAGTCCCACTTAAATGATTTTTTATTCTGTTTTTTTTTTTAGTATTTTTTGTTGCAGCGGTAACAGAAATGCATTATCTGTGAAAATTTCAACTGTCTAAACTAAACTAACTAAACTGTCTAAACTGGTGACAGGCAGACAGACAGCGGAGTCTTAGCAATGGGGTCCCGTTTAACCCTTTGGGTACGGGGCCCTAAAAACCTTCCATTTTTAAAGCAAATCATCGAGGTGTGATTTATACGCGTGTTTAAGCTCACCTCGACGGAGAGATGTTCGCCCTTTCTCAACACGACGCACACATTGGCCCCCACGAGGGTTCTCGCTCCGTCCTTCTCCGCGTAACACGCGAGGCTGGTCCGCCGTGACAAGCAGTGTCGCCAGAACTTGCTGATGCCCTCGACGCTTTCAGGGTCGCTGTTAAGGCCTGGAATACATAAATTAGTTTGGATTGCAAAAAATAAAAATCAGGGCCGGATTTAGGGGAAAAAAGCGGGGCCCACACAATAGAGACACGATAGAGATTATATTTGGAATCTATACTTGGTTTCACGTTAAATTTTGTTAAACGTAAAATTGAAAAACTCGACTGAAAAAAAAATGTTCATTTTATTTGGAAAATAAATTGGGGCCAAGGGGCCTCCACTCCTTTGTTGCCCCGAGGCCTCCAGACCTCTAAATCCGGCCCTGATAATAATGAAAATATGACAATATGAACGCGTCAGTTGGTGCAGTGCCATGCTCACCGGATTCAACGAAGGCGCGTAAAATTTGATGTGGGTGTGCTACGATCACAAAACAAAGCAACAATCGAGCGTATTGGTACGAGAGCTAGCAACTTCGGGAAAACAAGAATTTCAGGTAGGCCAGCAGCTGCCTCAGCAGCCGCAACAGCCTCGGCTGCTGCACGAATGGGCAAGCTCGTCCGGGTAAGTGCCACGACCTCACAGAAGACCGGCGTAAATTGGAACTATAATACTTCCGCGTTTCGTCTGGTGAACGAGGTAGCCGGAGCCCAATTTTCAAAAGGCTGTCAACGCATCTGCAAACCCTCGGGTGTAGCAGATGTCCATGGGCGGTGGTATTCACTTAACATGAATGGTGAACCACCTGCTCGCTTGGCAACTTTTCACATAAAAAAAAAATTCTATCTCTCCCATTATTCATTCATGTTCATCAGTGCCCGTTGTACTCTTCCAACAAGCCCATTCACTTTTCACTTTCAGTATAATTCTTTAGATTGAAAGTAGAAACAGCTTTTTCTACAAGTAATGTTCTATCTAATGATTACTTGTTTTATTTATTATAATTTTTATGATAGCTCGTTTAAAGTGATTCTTTTCTTTTGTAGTCTGCAGTAGTTTGCTTTGAACTTGACTTTGGTTCTAGTTCTGCAGTCGTAACACGTCGGTAATTCCACGTCTCGGCGACTCCTTTTGAAGGTTAAGGTGATTGATTTGACCTTGCTGATAAATAGGGACATTTGATCAATGGAAATAGATATATTGGGTTGAACCAGATCTATTAAAAGTATTCGTTTGTTTGTAATAAATAATCTATATAGAAGAAATAACAAGCCTCTCAACGATGAAACGAAATCTGCCCACTATCAATGCATTTGAGCTAGGTATTTTCGCTTTAAGTGTTAGGATAGTAATATAACTATCATCATCACACTGGAAGTGGATAAGAATGAGGACGGCTAGATAAGGTAATCAACACACAATTGGTTCATATTATTTTAATTATTACAATAATTAATATTCTTTTTTGAATGATAGATAGGTACTATATTTAAAATTACTCCTCAAATTGACCTCGCGTTGTTTCCGTCCGCTAGCCTTAAAGGATAATCGTAAGGCTGATGTAACTGTGACCCTGTCCCATTGCAAATGACAATACAAGGAGGCCGAATATATAGTGTTTTAAAGTATGTATTTTATTTAATTTTAGTTAAACGAAAACGTTAGTCTCTCCCGTGCCCATGGACTATTTAAAGTCATTGCAAATGTCGAGAATTAAAACCATAATTAAACGTGGAAAATCCTGAAATTATTAATCGTGTGCAAAATAAAAATCATTAATATTAGTTATTTATAGTTCAACACGTGTTTTCTGCTTAAACATTTATTCGAAATGTATTTTAAATAAAGACGCAACATATACAGGGAGATTTTTTGAGAAGTGCCAAAATTTACACAGTAGGGTAAATATTTTTTTACTAACGAAAAACAAAACTAACTTGATATATCTCGAACTGTATTGATTTTATAATTGATTTTAAGGAGTTCCCTAAATATCTCCGGAGCCCAAGATCCAAAACCAATGAAATTAATGTGGGACCACATGGGAAGTACAAAAAAAATTTTTCAAATAGTTTCAAATAAAAAAAGAATCATCAAAATCGGTTCACCCAGTCAAAAGTTCTGAGGGAACAAACAAAAAAAACACACACAAAAAAAAATTAAAAAAAAAATAATACGATCGAATTGAGAAACTCCTCCTTTTGAAGTCGGTTAAAAAGGTTCTGATAGTCCCAATGTAGTAATGAAGTTTTCTGTAATACAACAAACTCCTTAATTATTTATTGAATATGACTATAGTACGACTGTTGCTTCTATACGTTCATAACTTTTTTAATCAAGCTTTGGAACTAAGCAATATTTCATCGTAACGGGCTGAATAGTTTAGTTATTAATACGGGACAAACAAATAGGTCTATTCTCTAGTTTATGTTACAGCAAACTGTCCATAACTTTAATGGCGAAAACAGTACCGATGATTGTTTCCAACTAAACGTAAAGTTAGCAATATTACACGCCATTTATTCGGTTGAAGAACAGCAAATAGCCGTATTGTATTTTCGAGGTCGTTTCGGACGAAACTAAGATTGGCCAGTTGAAGAATAAGCATTTATGATTGCGGAGTAAGTAAGTGACCCGTGACCATGAACGCTGTAAAGGGTTCGAAACGTCGGGAATTGAAATTAAAAATAAACGCGATAAGTCCGTAAAAATTAGTTTCATTTATGAAAGTAACAAGTTAAATTTTATTTCTCAAAAGAAAGGATTTCCACCGATTTTCAATAACTAATTATTTCCCTATCGATATATGTTTGTGAGTAAATTTCACGCTAATAAAAGGCTTACGCCCGGTTTCTGAAACACTGATCATCGTAGAAATTAACTAATCAGCTGTCAAGTGGCTTTTCAAATGTCATTTAAGTTGCCAAAAGGATGGTTAAACTCTCTGAATTGATCAGATTGATATTCTTAATGATCAGAATGACGATCAGTGTTTCAAAAAGCGGGCGTTATAGTATTATAAAATGTCTTACCACATGAGGAGCATAACACTTCGTCTAAGCCGAGATGGTCGACCAAAAGCTGGATTGCCTTCTCTTCGTCTTCCGGTGGTAAATCTTGGATCACCCATTTCACTCCATCGTTCTCCCATCGTTCATATTCTTCGGGGACCCATGTGGACTCTTCCTTGTTGAAGACCATGATTTCTAAGCCGTCAAACAAGATAACACGGGCTTGGGTCAGTTTCTTTAGTCCATTATACAATTATTATTAGTTAGGTGACGCAGTCTTCATCTATTTTTTATAATAATAACTGGCGACCCGCCCCGGCTTCGCACGGGTGCAATGTATTATAATTATAAACCTTCCTCGTGTAAAAAAAATAGTAAAAAAAACCGCATCAAGATCCGTTGCGTAGATTTAAAGATCTAAGCATACATAGGGACAGACAGACAGCGGGACGACTTTGTTTTATAATATGTAATAATAATAATAATAGATATTTTAGGACAGACACACTTTTACACAACGTTCTCTAGTCCCAAAACTAAGCAACGCTTGTACTATGGGTACTAGATTACTGATAAACATACTTTTCTTTTGTAACTAAATACAAATAATAAAAATATAAACACTCAGACACTGGAAAAACACTATGTTCATCACACAATATTTTCCAGAAGTGGGAATCGAACCCACACCATCTGGTGTAAGGTGTAGTGGGTAGTGAAACTGCCCCAGTTTCACTACCCACTACATCAATCTTTATACTAGGATATACTAATCAAATATTATGTAATATTTGTTGTATTAACACAAAAACTTTATATAATATGGCCCTTTAAATTGTTGTAAAAATCAAGACGGCCCAAAAAAACTTCTGAAATAATTAATATTTTTCAGAAATCGCGTTGTTTATTTATTGACTTTAATAACACAGATAATAATTATATAAACTTTTTTTTATTTGTCCGACGCAAGTATATACATTATTCATATGTCAACTGACAGTTATATATTTAATATAATCGACCTTCCGAGAGTTTAATCTTGTCATGGACGGCCAGAGACGATTGCCTCGTTTAGAATTACTCGTTTTTTTTATTAAACCTTCAGATTTTTATGGTGTAAAATATACATTGCTTATTCAAAGGGTCTATAAAGAAGAAAAAGAAAAAAAATGCTAATAAAAAAAAACGCACGCCATGACGAATATATTGTTTTAGATTTTTATGTCTTGAATATCATTTATTTAGCGCGTGAACAAAGTTTATCAAAACGAAACTAATCCGTGTTTAGGAATCTTTGCATATCACTGATGTTTATGACATCCACTCGTAACATAAAATAGAGGAATGATTTTAATAATTATAAATGTATAAATATTTGCATCTTGATTCGTTTTTACTATATTTTTATATTTTTATAACTTAATAAACTTTGACGTATAAGTATAAAATTCCGAATTAAAAAACGAAACGTTATTCTACATCTGTATCATAAATCGACTAGTTGTTCAACAGAGGATTGTAATCTAAATTACAACACAAATTTCTTTTATATTTATATTTAAAACTCGTCCGTACGTTTGTATCCACAAAACTCGAAAACTAGCCGATGGATTGACTTGATATTATTGTTCACGAAATAGCTGTTGAACAGGAGAGTATTTTAATGTACTTTTTATTCTGAAACTCCAAGGAAAAAATTCAGAAAATAAATACTGGTTTATTAAATAAAAGTGATTCAAACGAGCGTACTTACGGGTGTCGGAATTCTGAGTAATCGAGACTTTTAAAAGAGCCTAGATCTCTAAAACACAGATGTGGTCGGAAGCAGGGCCTAAGATTGAATGAGCCGGCAGTGTATTAGTCCACGTTCCTTGCTAAATATAGATTCGCGCATGGCGACACTAGCTTTTACCGCGGCTACGCCCGCGCATTCGATTTCGAACTAAAATGGTGGACGTCTTCTGTTATCTTAATATATATAATTCATCTGTACGTGTATATGTCACTGAACTCGTCCTAAACAGTTTGGCAGATTTTGATGATTATTTTTGTGTGTCTTCAGGTAGATTCGAGAATGGTTTAGATTCACAATTCTGTCCACTACAATGTTTTTTTTTTTTTAATTTTTTGTTTATAAGATGTTATTGGATTTAAGTCCTGTGTACAGGACTGTCGGTCCGCTAGTTTTGATGTAAAAACGTTCCGTATGTGCTAATAATGCTCACGTATATGCATTTAAAATTACATTTAAGTCCGTCCGTATATATTTTATTTGACGGATTCAAGCCAGTATGGCATAAGACGAAGTTTGAAACAGAAGTTTGAAGTGAATAAGGAAGTACTATCTCCAGGAGTAGTTTGTTCACTTACGATAAGTACTAATATGAGAGTAGGTAAATATGTTTAACGTGATTGTGAACGCCCAGCTGTTATTGGATGTAGCTATTTAAGATAATGTCTGTAGAGTAGACAATTACAATAGTCCAGCCCCCCCCCCCCCCAACCCCGATTTGATAAAGTAGCAAACGCGACAGTTAACAAGGCGTACGCAGTACATATAAATATAATAATATACGGTGCACCCCTTGTTAATAATTATATAAAAATATAGGGTGGCTTTTTAAAATCACTCGTAATTAATTAAATATATTCATTTGAACTTATATCAAAAAGTGCGTGATTTATGGGCTACTCATTTATTTTACGCGCGATCATTCATATCTAACACGCACACGGTTCGTTTCAAAAGTATACGACGCATTTATGAATGACTACATTGTCAACAAGTTCTGTTTTCTAAGGAAGGGAAGGGCATTTAAAAAAAAAAGTTTGTTTTTCTTTCAATTAACGATTATACTACCGAGTCTGAACCTCATGTGTGAATTTGGGCATCTTTAGAAAAGCCACCCTGTATTTAAAACAAAATTGTGTACATAGACATTGTTCATTTCATTCCAAAGTTATTACAAAAAAAAAACATACAAATTACACTTTACTATTCATATTTTTTTATGGTTACAGTAATGTTTTTCTGCTAACTTATGGGTGCTAACCAGAGTGTAGGACCGTTATTATACTAGCGACCCGCCCGGCTTCGCGCGGGTGCAATGTATTAAACATAAAATCTTCCTCTTAAATCACTCTATCTAGTAAAAAAACCCCATCAAGATCTGTTGCGTAGTTTTAAAGATCTAAGCATACATAGGGGCAGACAAAAGAGAGGAGATCGAAAGAGAGGCCATGGTAGAGCGTTTGAATCTTACATTGCAGGTGGTCTCTGAATGGGGCGATGCCAATCTTGTGAGATTCAACGCCTCCAAAACGCAGCCGTGTCTTTTTACCGCAAATAGGAGCCCCTTCAACTTGGCTCCTACTTTCCAAAATGTGTCCTTGGAGTATACCGACCGCCTTCAGTTGTTAGGAGTCGAAATATCCTCAAACCTCAACTTTGGGCGGTTCATTGAGTCTAAAGCCAGGGCAGCTGCAGTTAACTGGAAGTTAGGTGTCCTTGCAAAAGTGGGACGGTACTTCACACCGGAGCTGCTTCTTACGCTATACAAAGCTCAAGTCCGATCATGTGTGGAGTACTGTTGCCATATCTGGGCTGGGGCTGCAAAATGCCATCTGGCTGCCTTGGACTCAATGGAGAGACGTGCGGAAAGGCTTATTGGTGACCGTAATTTGGTTAAAACCAACCTTACTAGCCTTGAGCACAGGCGCAGAGTAGCCAGCCTCTCGGTCTTCTACAGGATGCATTTTGGAGAGTGTGCGTTGGAGTTGCATAATTTGATTCCTCCTGCTCCTTTCCATCATCGAACAACTAGGCGTTAGGCGACGCTCCACCCTTATGCTGACGACGTTCCCAAAACAAGAACAAAGCGATTTGCCTCATCATTCATCATCCGTACAGCTAAGGAATGGAACAACCTGCCGGCGTCCGTCTTTCCGTACGATTACAACGTAGGCGTCTTCAAGGCAAGAGTGAATAGGTTTTTACTTAGCTAGCGCGCTTACCATCAAAGGCTGCATCGCCACTTACCACCAGGTGGGATGGCAGTCAAGTGCTGGCCAATTCTAAATAAAAAAAAAACATGACAAACAGCGGAACCATTTTGTTTAATAATATGTAGTGATACTTCTTTAGGGTTATAACATGTGAGAGTTTCTACGGAAAGATACTAGAGCAGAAAGCCAGGTTATTTCACATCTCTATACCAATGAGGCAATGAAATTAACTCAAAATGTATTTCTATTTGGTACAGACACTGATCCGTAATGTCTGATTGCGGTTGTTCTGATATACATGCGATTGATACTTTAAGCTCAGAGCTGGCGCGATTCCATAAGACGTTGGTTCGATTCCCGCAGCGGCGGGAATTTAATAATTTAATTAAATTATCTTCGTAAAAATGGACGTAAAGCTTTTACGTCCATTTTTACGCAGAAAATTTAATGTTTCATCTTAAGTGCACAATATTTTTTTAAATTTGATACCATACTATTAAATGTCACGGATTTTTTATGGAGGCAAACGCGCTAGTAGGCCCATCTGGTAGAAAGTTAAACAGAAGCGCTTGCCCTTTAACTGCCTATTTTTATTTACCAACTCGGAACAACCATGTAAACGTCAAACCAACTAATTTTTATAGCAATATAATTATATGGCAATAAAGGAAACTGATAGACGTATGCAAACGGGCGGACAGAGATACATTCAATTTTATATACATACACCGATAAATTCTACGTGACTTCCTCCCCCCGCATAAAGCATTAGGCGAACAGACGCAAAGCTGGTTTCTAACCTTATGATGTCTTGACGTATAAATTAAGTGTAGTTAAGCAATATCAGTTTCCATTTACTATTATAGGTATCTTGGTACGATTATTACATAATAGATGTCCGAAGAAACATCTGGAAGAAATTATAGATTTGTCGTTTTTCGGATTTACGGAGTACCTATATCTAATTTTTTTTTAAATCGCTCTCACTTTAGGATATCATTATCCTGTGTTGTATGGACGTTTTACAAATATAGTCTTCACACGATAATAACTTCAAAAAAAAAAAGTTGTGATCGGAGAGTTTGTTTTCTATTCCTTTCTGTATAGTAAGCACGAGTATATATGCGAATATATAGCTGACTGGAATGTAACAAGTGCTCGAAACGAGCCCGAATTGAAAATGAAAAACATATGTTCACGTCAACTTTGGAGCCTTTACTAAACACTTGAGAGTGCCGTATAATATTCCGTTAACTTGAGACGGGGGACGATGCGAGGCTGGAATTTTTAATGAAGTGTATATACGCTCTTATTCAGATAACAAGTGAAGACGGCGAAACGTCACCTGCTACCGCTCCGATGAAGAATTCTTAATTTATCACTTATATGTAACAAGCTTAAGGCCGCGGCCGTATGGTTGCTGCAGCGTAAGGCTTGCCTAAGTTCGTGGGCCCGATAATCCGAAATATGTATTTATTATAAATGAAACTAATTTTACGGATTTATCGCGTTTATATTTAATTGAATATAATGATATAATTAAATAATATATATTTAATTCCCTTTCTATGCTTTATGCAACGTGGCAATGTTTTACTGTGGTAGCAATACGCGGCAGCTTCTGCCGATGCATGAACGGGTAGCAGTCGGGGAAATCCGGCATATGGCGGATGTGTTATACCTCTGTTGGAAGTGTCATTCTATATAGGTTAAATGAAGCTGCACGAAGCATTTCATGGCCTTCTTCTTTGGCTGTCAATAAGAAGTATACGCGATAGAGCTGCTCAATCGATATCACAGATTAAATCGTTAGAGTTGTGGTTCTTTAGTATGAAATTGATAAAGTAAGTAATTATACCAATGTTATTAAAGTCAATAAAACAAAGTAAAGCTAATAATTCTTCGTTTCATCTGGCGAATGAGGAAACCGGGGCTCACTCGGGATCTGACCTCACAGAATGTAGGAGAACTTTTTATTCTCTTCCTTGCCTCTTTCGTTAGCTTCAATAGTCTTCAATCTCCTTGAAAACTTTAGTTGGAGACAATTAAAGAAAGAAAATGCAGAAAAAAAAATAAAGAAAGAACTATATATGACACTTATGATATTTTTGATATTATTTTAAGAAACTTGTCGAGTATAATATTTTTCTGTTTATTTTCGCACTGTTTTGTATTCGCTGTTAATATAACTTAATTATGGCGTAATTAACGATAAAAAATAAAGAGGTTTCGAACGGAAAAACGACTGTCAAATTGATGTGTTTACAGATTTTGTTAAAAGTATTGATTTTTATTCTTGTCTCTCGATGTTTCCGTGAACCCCGCAAATTTAGAATTGATTAAATTAGTCGAAATTTGACAGTTTATGACAATCGAAATGGCCGAATTACTAAAGTGATTTCATTATAATGATGTTATTGAGATTGTAATGTAAAGAGATGTCATAACAGTCACAATTTGCCGGTGGTGTCTTATGGAGTACTACAAGAGTTACGCGCAAACTGTTTCAAACGCTAACGTGCCGTGCAAACTAGACAATAGCTGGAAGTACACCTTTGTTGGCGAAGCAAAGGCCTTTGTGACGTCACGTTGGTGGCACCTCTTAGCAGACCAGCCTTTGTGTCTCGGGTCCAATATTATAAGTATTATTGTAGGGATAATTCTCAGTAGCCTCGCAGTTTCTTTCTGCTACTGAAAAACGTAACCGGTTTGAAGGACGCACTTTTGTATTATGAAAAGAATCGACAATAAAGTCACAAAACTCGTTCGGAGGGGAAACTTTTTCGGCAAATAGATTCAGCATTTATATCGTTGCCTTGACAGCTAAGAAGATGTTTGTCATAAAATCTGTAATTTGGAGATATATTGATTGGTTCAGTTTTAAAAATAGAAGAAAGTTTTTTGTAAAATGCAAAGTTGTGTTTGACGAAAATAAATATGAAGTAAAAAAATGCGTTGCATCCTTTAAATAAAGTGGGCACCGGGTACCTCACTCACCAGACGAAATGCAGAAGGGTAACACTTCTACTTTAGGCCGGACTTCTGTGTGGTCGCGGTAATTACCCGTACGGACCTGCCCATTCGTGCAACAGCGCAAACTGTTGCGTGACTCTACCATAGTATTTCTTTTCTTAGGCAGCTTGTACGTAACGTTGTACTGTGGTGGTTTTCGTAGTACTGGTGATGAGGTCTATCCAGAAGGTAGGCGTTCGACCTCGAGGTCTCCTGCCTTCTAAACGGCCTGGAACGACAAGTTTCTCCGTGGAATCTTCCTTTCTGAAGATGTGCCCAAAGAACTTGACATTATGGGTGCCAATTACTTTCTCTCATTGCCGCAATGAGCGATATATAAATACCTGGTACTTGGCCGATTTCATATAAATCTGCCTCTTGTATTTATTACAAACATTTATTTTGAATTGACTGTATTATAAATGGCATTAAATTTAAAAACTTGGAATCAAAATAATAATGAGAGGATTAAAATGCTGGCTTTGGAATATATGATGGATATGTCCTTGTGAAGTAACCTTTTCGAAGCAATGGAATTTTAAATACAATTTTCTCGGACATTAACGTCAGGCGAGCTGGTGGTTCAACTGATGTTAAGTGAATACCGCCCCCCATGGACGTTTGCAACACTTGAGGGGCTGTAGATGCGTTGTCACTGTCTTAAAGTGTTCTCCGGTTACCTCACTCAACAAGAGAAACGCGAAAATATAATAAATCTAATTCACGCCCGTTTTCTGTGTGTTGATGTACGTGCCCATTCGTGCAACAGAGAAGACTGTTGCGTTGCCCTACCAAAGAAAAAAAATTCAGGAAAATATAACATAGATGCTATAGTTTGGAATAGATGACTTTGCTTTAATAATAATAGAAGAGAATAACAAAAACACAGTCACTAATGTACTCCCTTTATTACTGAGTGGCGTGATCGAAATAATTGCGACATTGTTGTCCGTAAACGTGAAACAAAAGCCCGCCACTTTTAGCAGCTTCGCTGTTGAGAGCGGAGCCTTCTGCCGCCATTTTGATACGCGAGCGCCCTCCACGAGACTGGGTGTTTCATTACGTAATGAGATAATTACTTCGGGTAAAGCGGTTTCGTTCGGTGACGGGTTAACTTACGAAGTTTCGATTAACGCATATCGCTCAAATATTGTATTTGCCCCTCAAATCACAAATGTAAGCTTTTTAAATAATTTTGGTGTTTAAAAAAGGTTGTGTACAGTCATATAAACTGGTAGGGCCACGCAGCACACGATGAATGGGAAGTTCCGTCATATATACTGGTGTAGGGCTACGAAACGGTCTTCGCTGTCACACGAATGGGTATTTCAGTCCAGGGAGGTATCATGACCGAACAGAAGACCGGCGCGAAGTGGAAACGTTACCCTTCTGCGTTTCGTCTGGTGAGTTAGGCCCACTTTATTAATAGGCAACATGTTACAAATGTCAATGGGTGGTGGTTATGACTTAACATCAGGTCAACCGCCGCTCACTTGCTTACTTCTAACGTTTAAACAATAATATTCGGGTACACACGATTTTGTCTTTCATTGTTTCTTTAAGCCGTCGTGTTTTCCTGAACTATTGGCAAATTGAACACATAAGTAGTTTTTAATGCTTGTATATCTTAACCGTCTGTCTGGATAAATTTACATTTATAAAATAACTCCATTAGGTACTAAGAAAGACAACTTATTTGAAATTAAAGATTACAATAAAAATACAAATACAAATGAAATTTACTTAAATCGTAAAGATCCCGCTTTACGATTTAAGTAGATTTCATCTTGGCATACTTTTATGTCCGTCTCCGTCCATCACTACTTTGTCTCTATTTTCTCACCATTGTCAAATTATTTCATGATACGATACGACCAGTTTTGTCTCGTCACGTTTCGCGTCGATGTATCGTTTCAAACGTTACCGTTCACGCCGTTGACTATTCGTATAAATAAAACGGGCATTATTATTCCCGCAGCGTCGAAAGATTTTTGTCTTTTTAGGGTTCCGCACCTAAAGGGTAAAACCAACACTAAAACCCGGCTGTCTGTTTGTCCGTCTGTCACCAAGCTGTTTCTCATGAACCGCTGTACTAAGACTGCTGAAATTGTCACAGATGATGTATTTCTGTTGCCTCTTCTATAACAACAAATACTAAAAAACAGAATAAAAAAGTATTTGAGTGGCGCCCCCATACAACAGACACGATTTTTGTGTCAAACTCTTACTTGTTTGAAACAACGCTATAGAACTAACGGCTTGGGAAACACACTTAATGTATATCATGTTTAATATTCAATAAATTCGGATTGAGAGCAGGTGCGGTCGAGGCTTGCGTTTTTAATGCAGTACACATACGCCGGTAGATATATTAAAAGCTGGTTAACGCAGTTACGACGGAGTTTTCTGTTTAATGGTGTATGTTTTACAGTAAATGTATATGTGGAATGGCCCTACAAGCGTTTAGACAATTTTTAAGCAATATAATGTGGATACAACCCCATTTTTCGTTAAATTAAGGAATTTGTATTGATGTTTAACAAGCTTTTTTATTGATTTTGCTTTTATGTTACTCTGTATAAATACATGTTACATTCACACATTACACATTTACGAGACTATTATTCACGTGGTAAAATACCATAATATTAGGTTGTTCGGATCAAACCCGCCCACACAAATATTCCAATGAAAGACATAGTTTTCATTTATACGAACTTATATTTAAAGATCAACTAGAGGTAGACACCCTGCGAATTTATAACCGCTTGTCAGCGCTAAGGTAACTTTCTCACCATCCATGTTGGTTGCCATCGGTTATTTCTTTATCCAAACTTTTTCGCAAGGCATAGGCATAGTAAGCAACACCATCAATTCTTCTCTTTAACTGATGAAAGCAACCATAATCACACGGACGTAAGTCAGGGGAATATGGTGGTTGAATATATATATATATATATATATATATATACAACAACTTACATCATTAATAACTATTTACCGTATTAATATATGTCATCCCCTACTGATAACTACTTTAAACTTTAAAGCCTTAGTAAATGTGCTATGTGTATCTGGCGAAAAATATTAAACAACTAAAAGGGCTTTTCTTAAGGTCAGACTGAGTAACTTGCACTGAGTTAGTGGTTACCATCTATTTATTCAGCGCCAATTGTCTCGGAGCTTTCGAAGTAAGCAATCAATACTAAACGTAACGATTCAAGGATTTTATTTCAGAAAAAAAAAAAAAAAAAGGAAAAACGCGTGAAAGCAGTCGCTAGTTAAGACTAGTAAAATAAGGTTGTCATGGATACCCATTCATAGCTAAGTCTGGATATAAAAGCGTGAGTGGAACTCAAACGGCGAACAGCGGTCACGTCTCGGGATGACATAACAAAGGTTTCCCCCTAATTGACAACAAAGCCGCCACTCGGTCATTGTTCGTACGCGACATGGCTTCCGTAGAGAAATTCGCACGGCCCCGTGGAGTGAAATAATATTTGGCAGCGTAGCGCCGCCTCTACATTTCTAATTTAGAAATAATACTCCAACTGAGTCGAGTATGTTGGAGAAATCTCCTCGTTTATAAGTACATTGATTTGGAAGGTTTTGAACTTCAAATTATGTTATATTGTGAACCGATTGTATTGG